CAAATCCACCTCCATTTCACCAATGAGAACACTGAGAGTCAGAGGAGGTAGGGATCTTACCCAAGACCACCTAAGCTAGTAGATATGGAGGATAGCAATTAGGATTTACCCTGAATGGCAACTCTGATCCATTCATTGCATGGGCCAGGGTTTCTCGACTTCGGTTGGCACTAATAGATGCTTTGAGCTGGGTAATTCAGAGCTGTGGGGCTATCCTGTGTATTGTGAGATGTTAGCTGCATCCCTGGCTTCTACGCACTAGATGCCAGGAGCATCCCATCCCCTCCTGTGACAACCAAAAATGCTACTCCAAAAAACTGCCCAACATGCCCTGGGGGAAGGGAAGGATTGCCCCTTGAGAATCATAGCTCGAAAGAGCCAGGTTCAGTCAGAAAAACACAGTGGTCTTTGCTGACTGAGAGAGGCAGAGTGACAGCACATGACTAGCTTATTTGTTGAGCCTTTGATCCAATCTTGTATCTTCTGACTCCAAATCTGGCCCACTTTCCATTATGCTAGGCTTCTTGGGATCAATTTTTCCATTGCTCTACTTGTTAGAAAGTTCTTTCCTATTGAGCCCAAATCTGCTTCCCAGTAACTGACTTCATCAGCCTCCCAGAGCCATGCAGAAGACCTAATCTTTCTCCACGGGCTGGCACTTCAACTATTTGAAAACAGCTCATGTGTCCCTGCTCTGTTCCCTCCTCTCACCCCAGCCCTTGCCTGAACCTCTTAGTCTTCTTGCGGCTGCTGGGGCACTCAGAGGGTCACACTCAGCAGCAAATTCAGCAGTTATAACACCTACCACCTGCCAGGCACTATGACGTGTCAGGGATCAATTCTTGGACAGGGAATTCCAACTTCTAAGCTCCTTCTCACAGAATTTCCAGCAGCCTAGAGTTTATGTATCTTCAAGCTTCCAAATTCTGATGTAGCCTGCCTACATTTAAGTCTAGGGTTTTAGAACCTTTGCTCTCACTTATCCTAGGCAATAGAGTACTGTTTAACTTGTTAAAGCAGCTACCTAAAAAGTGCCTTCTGAAGAAAGTATTAAAAAGGAACTTTTAAAATAATAGAATGCTAGGTCAAAGGGGTCTGGTCTTATTTTCAGTAAAATAGCTGTTTAAAAGTTTGTACCAAGAAAGCCTAGAAGTTGACACAAAAAAATATTAGCCAGGTTTATTTTTCTAGATATAGAGAGTTTAAAAATTTTTTTTAAATGTTTTCCTTTGTTTTCTTTTAAATTGTAAAATTTGGAGAACAAATACGTGTGTGTGTGTGTGTGTGTGTGTGTGCACGCACACATGTATATTCATATATACATTGCAATCAGCTTGTAAAAGTTCTTTATAGAATTGTAATGATGACTGTCTTTTTATTATTTCTTATAGGGATGATGACACCTGGTGGAAATAAGTAGCAGAGATGCAGAATACAATCATAGAACTGGACCTGTTTGGAGACTAAAAAGCATTAGAATGATAGAGTTAGATAAGCTTCCAGGTCATCTCCCTTCATTTAAGAAAATAGGAACAAATATTGGACCCAGAAAAAAAGTTCTGGGAACACAGCACATGCAGATAAAGATTCTGAGTGAAAAGAAACTGACACAAAGAATGAAAAGTGACAGCAGAGAACTGAGTACCAAGGGCAAGCCAAAAAATAAAAATGGGCTCATATCTGGTCGAGTTAAAGCACCATTCATTCAGCTCTTGGTTAAACATAGTTCACCATATGCTAGGGCCAGGCATGGTTCCTCACCCCTGTAATCCCAGCATTTTGGGAGGCTGAAGTGGGAGGATTGCTTGAGACCAGAAATTCGAGGCCAGCTTGGGCCACAGAGCAAGACCACCAACTCCTTTAAAAATAAAAATAAAAAAAATCATATAAAAAATGAGAATGATAATTCAGTTCCCATTTTTCTGTGACTTTACATGGCCTACATTCTGTTTTAAGCGTTTCTGAGCTTCATAAATTATTTTCCCCCTTCCCTTTCAACCATCCCTTATTTCATCAAAATAAATCATGATGGTTTACTTTTTTCTTGAAAGAGTTTTTCTGATTTCCTATTCCTGTTGCTTACCCCATATACAACTTTAAGCCTTTGACTCACGTCCCTTGGGATGAACAGATGTTATCCTTTCTTCTTCCCAAAAGTGTTTCCTTCTTGGTAGATCCTTGTGTCCTTTCTGGCTGCCAAGATCAGGGTTCCCAGTGGAGGCCCTGGTGAGCACGTCTTCCTTGTGGCCACAGGAGTTTGGTGAATGAGCACCAAGTTTGTGGGTTTGTGTCAACCCCCAACCCCCACTTCTTTTTAAAGGGAACGGGAGTCTACATTTCTAATCACACCACAGCAACTGGATACCACAGGGGATAGCCTCCGCTCAGCTGGAGTGATATTTCTGGATCTTTGAGGGCAATTCCATTTCCTGTTGCCAGGAGTGTGTGTGTGTGTGTGTGTGTGTGTGTGTGTGTGTGTGTGTGTGTGTGTGTGTTTGTGTGTGTGTGAGAGAGAGAGGGAGAGAGTAAATTCTAGCAAAGTAATGTGTCTATGAGTACTACGGGTAATGCTACCCTAAATAACTTGGGCTTCCACTGGCTGGCTTTTGTTCCTAAAATGCTAATCCTTTCAGGTGTAGACCTATATAAAACATTGGGGATGAAAGGGTGCACAGAAGCCTCACATCTCTTCTGCTGCATCAGGTAAAGATTATGTTTAAACTAACAGTTCAAAATTATTTTGAGAACACTAACAAGGAGTCAATAAAAACACTTTCCAATTTTTTTTATTAAATACTAATGTATGACGTGGGTCATATGGCATGTTGAACTAATAACCATCACTAGGTAGATTCCTGTAGTTATTTTCTAGACTGCTTTTCAATGTGCAGCTGTCTTTGGGAAAAAATTAATTTCTCATGTCAACTACAGTGATGCAGAGCGAGTAATTTTTTTTCACAAGGAAGAGCATCACCTGGTATTTAACTGAAAATAGTTATCTTTTCTCACATGCACAATGAAGAGATGTCTTAGATTTAATGCACAGGGTCTCATTTTGATGGGTTGGAATTCTGCATACAGCATCACGCTGCATGTCTCTATGGCTCTGGAGACGGTAACAAATAGCTGATATCGTGTGTGAGAGGCTTCGCGTGGGTTACGTCTCTTAAATCCCACAACCAGCATGTGAAGTAGGTGTCCTCACTGTCTCTGTGCTCAGCAGGGATTGGTCACGAGAGCCTACATTCAAATGCAAACTTCTCACCACAGCGCTGAGACATCCACACTGAAATTCCTCTATGTACTTTCCAGCAACCAATTTGCTATTTTTTTAGGGGGAGCAATTAACTTTCTGGAGTTGTGGGAAAGCAGAAAAGAAGGTGCAAGTAAGTATCAGCAAGAGAAAAAAAAGTATCCTGTGAATCTTGAACTTTACAGGTGGAGCACTCTTGGCCAGCTTGGTGAGTTGGAAAATTGGGGTAAATACTTGATCATTTGAAAATGCTGCAATACTGCAACAACAGACTTGCGTCTTGAAATCTGGTACACGGTCACGTGAGGGGCACACAGACTGTCCGGGTGTGCAGTGGAATTAGAGACATGGCGAGGGGCTGCCGCTTTTTCTTGAGTTTTGTTCCTTCCTTGAGGGCAATCCTGGGGCTGGACAGCTGGAGTCAGTGTTGGCTTCGGTGAGCTCGTTAGTCATGGGGTAGCTGGTGTGTCTTGTTTCCATCCTCAGTTGAATGAAACAATGTGTGTGGAGAATAAACCCAGGGTGGGAAACATGGATGGGGAAAACCGTTTACATTTTGTAAAAAAAAAAAAAAAAAAAGACCAAAAAATGTCACTGTGACAGCATGTGCTTAATGACGCATAAGTAATTTCAGGAAAAACTAGGCAAGGAAATCTATGTCCAAACCCAAGCCCCTGGGACCACATCCTGCCAGGTGAGGAAGACTGGAGATTCTGCAGCTAGGAGTCCCCACTTTGACTCCTGGCTTTGTCACCGGCCTGCCGGCTCTGGTCTTGGAATGGTTTCCAATCTCTCTGAGCTGGAATTTCTCTCATCTGAGACAAGATTCAATGACAGAATCTACTTCATCAGACTGTTGTGAGGATTAAACGAACCTGCTTAAAGCTCTAGAACCGTGCCTGGTAACAATAGGATAATTCTCCCAGCAATGTCAGGCATGGCTGTCTTGAGGCTGACCAATGATCGCAATAGCCGGACCTCTCGTTCTGAGTCATGTGTGGTTTCCCTGCGTTTTAGTAATCACTCTGCTTCTCTGTTCCTCACCACAGCCCTAATGAGGCAGACGGATATAATTATCCCCATTTTGCTGATGAGGAAATGGGCGCTGAGGGGACTGAGTGAGTTGCCCAGTGCTCAAGTGGGAGCCAAGTTAGGCTTCTGGCCCAGTCCCAGCGCTTTCTACTATCGTGCAAGATAGCCTCAGATGAGAGGAGAGCGGACTGTGTTGGTTACAAATTCTGGCTTCTCGTCCATGATGTTATTAACCCCAGAATCCACAAAGTACCCCTGATGGTATGCAGTGCTGGACAGATTGCAAGATGCAGTCTCAAACATTATTAGAGATTCATTTTAGACTACCAGCATTGAGTGATGCGCTACGATACTTGAGGGGGATGGGAGGGGTTGCAGGGATGGCATAGAATAAATTTGCAACATAACAAAACCTTGCTGCAGCCCCCTGAACAGTAGAGTAGCACTTGTTCCCGGGTGACAGCTGTGGTTTCTGCATTGCTTCGTGCACAAGGTTCAGGAGAGTTGCATGTTCTCCCTGGACCTTGCTCTGCAAAGCTAGGATGGCAGCTCTGCCCGGACAGCTGCTTTGCTCACCCAGAATGTGGAGCTGAGAAGCAGGTGTCCTTCTCAGCTAGATAAGCGGCACCTTTCAAGCCCTCTGGGAATGTCAGACTTGACTTGGGCCCAGTGACTTGGGTCTTGTCCAGTTCTTTCTCTTCAGCAGGCTCCGGTCATGGACGTGTGTCTGAGCTCTGTGCAGCAGGCCGGGCGTCTGGAGGAAGGACTGGATGCCCCAGGAGGCTGGCTAGAGGTTGAGAAGAAGGAGGTTGTCCAGAAAGACAGTGCTGAGGGACCCCCAGGAGGTAGCCTCCTTCCGCATCACCCGAACAATTTTCCTCAGTTGCTTTCCTGGCGATGACATTCTCAAGTCAACTTCAGTGACAAGAAATTTCCATTTCCTTTTAACTAGATTTTTTTTTTACTGTAATGAAGCTTAGTAGAAAAAAATGCCTTTATTTGAGCATAAACACCACATTGAAAGTAATTCTTGTTTTTTTATTATTTACTTATAAAAGTTTACAAATTTATCTTGTGGAGAAATATAAGCTTGCGATATTTTTGTAACAAGAACTTTAAGGGAAAAAAATCCCAATTGTTTCTGCTTTTCTCCAAATGCATGCCTGGCTGATTTGTCATCCACAGGATCCTTGTAAACCAAAGCGTTTTTCCCATTAGGACAATGTAACAGTTTAAAGTTGCATGTCTGGGCATGGATTCAGCAGTAAATAAATAACAGACACCACCAATGATGTAATGAAAGCCCAGATATGGCATTTAAAACGTCTACGATCATTTAAAGTCGTAAAAATAGGTTCCAATTTTACTAAATGAGAATGCTAATTATTTTTACTGGTTAGTTTACATAAAAATGCAACTCTACCTTATCTCTAAAATCAGATCTTTCCCAAACTCTCAGGTGAGCATAGGCAGAATAAATGAAATTACTTCAAGTGAAATAAACATCCATTTCTTTATCCTTGACTGCAAAGGGTCTCATGAGAGAATATTCATATGTCTGTGTTTCTTTACAATGTTGACCGAAGGCGTGCAACCGTCAGGCTTCATATTTGTCGGTTTATTTACCTGTGAAAGGGTGATCCATTCAAACTCCGTCCACAGACTTTTCCTAAGTCTTGAGAAGAACGTAGGTCCCCAGATAGTGAAAGATGAGAGGAAGGACAGAAGGCACAGCCTGAGGATGGTGGTGGTGGTGGTGGTGGGGTGGCTGGCAGGAGTCTCTGATACTCTGAGTCATCCACCCCCGTGGTGTGCTGGAGACAGCTGGTGCTGGTGCCAGAATTTCAGGAATTTTTTGAGCTGATTGTTGAAACATGACCATTATCAAAACTTAATTTATATTATCTTAAATTTCATTTTCTTTCTTAAAGACAGAGTCTCACCCTGTCACCCAGGCTAGAATGGAGTAGTACAATGGTAGCTCTCTGCAATCTCAAACTCCTGGGCTCAAATGGTCTTCCTGATTCAGCCTTCTGAGTAGCGGGGACTACAGACACATACTACTATGCCTAGCTAAAAATAAATTTTTTTTTTTTTTTGAGAGACAGGGCCTTGCTGTGTTGCCCAGGCTGGTTTTGAACTCCTGGGCCCGAGATTCTCTTACCTTGGCCTCCCAAAATGCTGAGATTGCAGGCATGACCCATGGTGCCTGGACTCAATATTTAAGTTATATAATCTTATGATTAAATAGATTAAAGACAATGGTGTATTAAAAAATGAAGAAAATAAACACTCAAAGCTCATCACTGGTTATTTGACTACATCTTACTATTATCGATATTCCTGAGGTTATTCGTGTCTACGGTATCCACACGGTAGAAATACCACACAAGGGTGTGTTACTACACATCTTTTCCCAGGGGCACCATGCTGGTAGTTTGAAATCAGCCATGATGGGAGTATTTACACCACGGCAATTGCCAAACCCTGTACAGCAGTGCTTCTTCTCCTCCCCCCGGAACTGGTTGTTAGACTTGTATCAGCCCACCCTTGTCTACTGCTCTGCCTCCTTCTTGTTTCTGGACCAGAATTCAGAGTCAGCCCCTCAGTCCTACCGTAGAAGCCAAGGCCTCTTCGGTCATTCATAAACATTGGTCTGCTGTGTTAGATGTCAGTGGCGTCCCATACTAAGAGGAAGGGAAAGCTATGGATCTCCCTCCTTACCTTACACTCTCTCTACAAACCCTTACTGGGGCATGTGACAGCAAAGGACAAAGTCTCAGGACTGAACTGGCTATGGTTTGTTAGCAGGTTCTTGCAAGTCCAGTGAAGTCCCAGGTCTCTGGAAGCCCAACCTTTTGGTCAGGACAGAGAATGCCCCTTCCAGAGATAGAACACACTAAGCCAGAACCTACGCTCTGAAGAGCTAGGGACGCCGTTATGTTAATTTACAAATGAGTCACTTCGCTCACATTGTGGTCAAGGACTGTTTTTTTAGTGGGCTGCACATTGAGACTTTTGTAATATATGACAAAAAAATGACTTTATGGAAAAACAAAATGAAAATATATGCAGCGGTAAAATACAAGCCCTATTTTTGTTTTGAATTAGATTCAACAGACATTCTCAGGTTGTCGTATTTCTAAATGCGTACCCCAGATTTCTGTACTTAGGGTAGATCTGTTACAAACAGTCTGCAGACCAGAACTGCTCAAGTGCAGAACTGTTCAAATTTAGATGGAAATGAGTGATACTTGAAACACCCCGCAGGGCCTGCCCCTGACGGACACGGCCGGTCAGGTTTCTTCCAAGGCCTATTTCCTTTCTCCTGGATTCACTCTCTTCCCCTCCCACCTTGAGTGCATAATTCTGATTAGAGCACTTCAAATGTTGACTGACTGCCCCTTCCAGCTTTTTTCCAGAGTCCACATTCCATTCCCGGGGTAAAAATGTTCCAGCCACGTTCCAGGCAAAAAGGTAGGTTTCATGCAAAAACCGACCTTCTCCCCACCACGGTCTCCACACTGCTTGGTACCCACACCTTCTCTCTGTTCCTGATCTTTCTCCCCGACAATTTTGCCCACTGCTCTTTTCATGCATAATCACTCTGGAAAAACGGCGATGATGTGGTTCTGTGACGTCAGCCCGGATCAGGCGCTCTTTTCCTCTCATTTCATATGCCATTTGAGAGCCACCAGTGTGGGTCATGGGTTGACAGAAGTATTTAAAACAATAGTAACTTAATAGCCAGAGTTCAGCTGAGAGCTACCCCCAGGACTCTGGAGCTGCAGGGCCGGTACCTTTTGAGGAGCAATTGTAGGATAGATTTAAGGAACATGCTCCAGCCACCACATGGGAATGTGACTTCACTTCAGGGCCTAGAAACAGGCAGGTCCATGCTTATCAAGTTCCTCAGTATTCAGATACGCAGCTCCTTTGTGTCATTTTGCTGCCACGCTACCTTCTTCCCGCCAGCACAGGATAGGGTGGGGATGGGTCCACACCTCTTCTGTCCTCTCCAAAATAAAGAAAAGGTGCAGGCTGTCCTTTGGCATTTTGTTGTATTATAAAAATGTCATTTCTGAATTTCATGCTCCCGTCACCCTGTATAATTCCGTGTTGGGCGGACGGGCAGTCACATCGGCTGATAACATCACCCCCGCCGCTTCTGGAAAGAGTGCTCTGGCCTAGACCCATTTTACTGACTGTACCCACAGTGTATTCGTGCTGCATTAACATGCCGGGAAGTCCACTTTGTTTTTCTGCTTCACAGATTCTAATGAGATAGAGCCATCTCTTCAAAGCCTCCAGAAATTTGTTCCTACCGATTATGCCAGCTACACTCAGGAGTATTACCGGTTTGCAGGAAGGAAGATTGTCATCCAAGAATCGATAGAGAGCTACGGAGCGGTGGTGTGGCCTGGGGTGAGGGAATAGTCGTCTCCGTGGTGTCAAGGATTCTGGGGATACCAATTTTGTCCTTTCGTGTTGCCTGGGATGATTTGCCAAGTGCTTTAACATCCTGTGCTACTCAAACTGAAGTTCAAATATCTGCCCCACTCAGGGTGTTCGTGGTGTGCTTGGGATTAGCAAAAACATCATATTCCAGAAGCACTGGTTTTGTTTAGGCTATATTTCTTTTCTTTTCTTTTTGAGCCAGGGTCTCACTGTCACCCAGACTGGAGTGCAGTGGCAAGATCATAGCTCTCTGGTCTTGATCTCCAGGGCTCAGGAGATCCTTCCTCCTCAGACTCCTGAGTAGCTGGGACTACAGGCACATACATACCACCACACCCAACTAATTAAAAAAAATTTTTTTTTGTAGCCTGGGTGCAGTGTCTCATGCCTGTAATCCCAGCACTTTGGGAGGCGAAGGTGAGGATTGCCTGAGCCCACAGGTTCGAGACCAGCCTGGGCAAGTTGGTGAGACCTTGTCTCTACAATAAATTAAAAAAAAAAAAACCGTAGACACGGGTTCTCACAATGTTGCCCAAGGTGGTTTTGAACTTCTGGGCTCAAGCAAGCAATTCTTCCAAAGTGCTGGGATTACAGACCTGAGCTACTGCAGGATCTCTGTATGATCCCCACATGTACCAACACTGGAGAAGTTCTGATCTGGAGCCTTCTAAGCATGGCAACCTCTGCCACAGAAAGAGCGATGGTGCTGGTACCCAGGGCCACTGCCCTGCTTGGCTCTGTACTGCGCCCCAGTGAAGAGTTTGTAACCAACCAACCAACCCGCCCTGCTCCCCCTTTCCTCAGCTGTCAGGTGGAAATACCTTTCCATGAATGATGACAGCAAAGGCGGGCTTACACCAGGACTTCATCTCATTCTCACAATCCTGACAGCCACGCCAGGAGTTAGACATTCCCCACTCCTCCAGGTTTTAAGGATGGAAATGAAGGCAAGGGGAGTTGAAGTGAGCATTCGTGACTGCACAGCCCGGAAATGGCAGAACGTGGGGGCTTTAAGTCTAGAGTATTTCCGCAATTTCAGCATCCTCCTCTCAGGGCTGCTGTCGGAGCAACATGCAGTGATGAAATGCTCCCTAAACGTCCCCACTGAAACATCCACGTGGAAAAGAGATGAATGGACCAGGGTCTGTGAGTGCAGCCCAGGAGTGCTTCTAGGATTGGGGAAAAATGACTTTTGATAAAGGAGTCAAGAGAGGTGTTCTGTTTATACTTTTTTTTTTTTCTTGAGAGGGAAGGATCACCCAAGCCCAGGAGATCCAGACTGCCATGAGCCATGATTGTCATGATTGTGCCACTGCACTCTGGGTGACAGGAGCTCGATTCACAGCAATGGATCTGCCTGATTGTTTAATGTACATTCAGTGCCATAGTTAGACCTCTGGAATATAAAAGTTGTAATAAATCTCATCTAAGGAACTGAAGACAGATTCCTTAGATTGTTTCTATCAGATGTGATCAGTCTGGTATTCCCTTAAGAAGTTTGACTGATGGCTCTGGATATTCAGCTAAGAGTGTTGTGACAAAAACTTGCTTCAATTTGTCTAAAAATTCGTGATCGGTGCCGAATCTGAACTTGTTTGCCCATAAAAGCAAGGTCCCTGGCTGCAACAGGTGCACCATAGTGGCGAACAGCTTGCTGTCACCAATATTCCAAAAGGCATTTTGTTTATTTAAGTCCCATTTTCTTTGATAAAGGAGTTGAGAGAGGTGCTCCAGTTGTTTTATATATATAATTTTTTCCCTTTTTTTTTTGAGTTGAGGGCTCACTCTGTCACCTAGAGTACAGTGCACGGTCACGACAATCATGGCTTATGGCAGTCTCGATCTTCTGGGCTCAGGTGATCCTTCCCACTCAGCCTCCCAAGTAGCTGGAACTGCAGGTGCCTGCCACTATGCCCAGCTAGGTTTTGGACTTTTTTTGTTTGTAGAGAAGTTTTCGCTGCGTGGCCCAGGTTGGTTTCGAACTCCTGGGCTCAAGCAATTCGCCTGCCTCAGCCTCCAAAAGTGCTGGGATTACAGGCGTGAGCCACCATGCCCGGCCTATACCACATTCTTAAAGCAATTGGAGACCCAACAGAATTAAACCAGTGAAAGAAGTTGCTGTATTCTAGTCCAGTATTTCCCTGATTCATAAGCACTGATCCGATCTGCTGATCTTCCTCTTCTTTGGAAACTGATCACATCTGATAGAAGCAATTTAAGGAGTCTATTTCTTCAGTTCCTTAGATGAGATTTATTACAACTTTTATATTCCAGAGGCCTAACTATGGCACTGAATGTACATTTTGGTTCCTATGAACTCTTCAATGAATGGAAATAATTTAACATGTCTTTTAGTATTTAACTTGGGGTGACAGAGGGGGGGTCACTATTGGTGAAAACTGTTGTAAATGTTTTCCAGGCTACGGCTTTGTGTCAGTATTTGGAGGAACATGCAGAGGAACTGAATCTCCAAGATGCTAAGATACTTGAAATAGGGGCTGGACCAGGCCTCGTTTCCATTGTGGCCAGTATTTTAGGTTTGTTTACTCGTGACCTTGTTTCAAGACAACAGTGATAACAAGTGCTTACTTGTAGACAGGCTGTGGTGTTGGTGCTTGGCCATGACTTTTTAGTGACTCTCCCCAAAATGTCTGGAGTTCCTGCTGTTATCCACTGAGATAAGACAGCTGAGTCTTAGAGAGGTCTGTGAACCCCTCCAGTCCACCAGTTCCCACGTGATGAAGTTGAGAGCCCAGAGGCTGACTCTGAATTGCTGTGGACCATCGAGACAGGGGTGGGGTGGGGTGAGGTGGGGGCCCTCCTGACATCAAGGGAGCCTGTTGCTCATCTTACAGTGCACAGGACAGGACCACCCATGAGAAGAATCAGCCAGCCCACATCACGGCGAATATGTCCAGCCTGTGTACCAAAAGGGCCAAGGTTGAGAAATCCAGTTGTTCCTCATGTCTCTCCCTGAGGATATGTATTTCATGGCTGCCCACACGTTTCCAGGTAATGATGACACATTTTCGCCTTTTCTCTTAGGAGCTCAAGTCACAGCAACAGATCTGCCCGATGTCCTTGGAAATCTTCAACACAATCTTTTAAAAAACACTCTAAAATGTACGGCCCATCTGCCTGAAGTGAGGGCACTGGCATGGGGGGAAGACTTGGAGCAGAACTTCCCCAAGTCCACTTTTTACTACGACTATGTTCTGGCCTCGGATGTGGTCTACCACCACTACTTCCTGGACAAGCTGCTTGCCACCATGGTGCACCTGTCCCAGCCAGGGACCCTGCTGCTGTGGGCGAACAAGTTCAGATTCAGCACTGATTACGAATTTTTAGACAAATTCAAGCAAGTTTTTGATACAACACTTTTAGCTGAATATTCAGAGTCATCAGTGAAACTTTTTAAGGGGATACGAAAATGAGACTAAATAAACAAAATGCCTCTTGCAATACTGGTGTGTCTTTTGAGCTGTGTTAGAAATTGTATTGGCATCAAAGACTTCTAAGACAGGGCAGGTGGTGAAGAGAAACAACTTGTATACTTAGAACAAATGTAACCTGATACTGCAGACACTTTCTAAAGTAATTTATGTAAGATTATTTGGCTAATCTAAAATATCTACAAAGAGTAGCATTACACATGAAAGCAGTTCTGTTGGCTTTCAAAGTCTCATTTACTTGTTTAATACATTTTTCAAGGATAAATTAATAAACAAATAGGTTTTCTTCTTCAGTTCTTCTGGATGATGATTACAGTTACTTCTTTTAAATACCTAAGAATGTATTCATCAACTAACAGCAAGATCTATCTGTGAAATATCCATTTCCAAGATTTTAAGACTAATTTATTTTTTAAGAGAGAAAACGATGTGTCCCCTTACTCTCACCCCTCATCCCCCTCTCAAAGGGGAGGAAAGTAAACATGCCTATCGCAATAGGATACACCACTTGCAAGTTCAGGTCCCTCAAAGCTGAAGAGAGGTCGTAGGAAAAGGCAGGATGTTTTTCACACCCAGGTAACGGGAGACAAGCACAGTATGTTTGCCTGGCGTTTCCTGATTATCCAACCCAGTTTTACTTGCGGCTGCTTCTGTCTCATGAGCAAGGAAGGGCAGGAAAGATTAGTCAACCTGGAACACATGGGCTTGCTAGTATGAAGCTCAGTAAATCAGTTAATTTCGGTCTAAACAGAGATACATACGTCAAGGGAACAGAATAGAGCCCAGAAGCAGACTCACACACATGTGATCTATTGATTTTTGATAGAGGTAATTCAATGGGAAAGTCTTTTAAACAAGTGATGCTAGATCACACACACACACACACACACACACAAATTATGTAAATACACCTTTGAATCCTCTCATGCCATTCACAAAAATTAGATAGAAATATATCATACAAGAGTTAAAGTTGCAAAAAACTGTAAAACTTTTAGAAGAAAACACAAGACAAAGTCTTTGTTACTCTGGGTTAGACAAAAATATCTTAAAAATGCCACCAAAAGTACAATTCATAAGTGAAAAAATATGCTGAACTGAACCTTATAAAAATTAAAACTTTTGTTCTTCAAACGACTCCATTAAGAAACACACTGGGCCAGGCATGATGGCATGTGTCTATAGCTCCAGACCCTTGGAAGGCTGATGCAGAAGGATCGCTTGAGCCCAGGAGTTCAAGTCCAGCCTGGACAACATAACAAGAAACGCATTAGGAGAAAATACTGGCAAAACACATATCTGAGAAAGGGTTTGTATCCAAAACATATAAAGAACTCTCATAACTAAATAAGACAGATGATTTGACTGAAAAAATAGGCAAAAAAATTAGAATTGGAACTTTACCAAAGATATACTAATGTCTAATAAACCCATTATTGAATAGGGAAATGGAACTACAAACCATGAGATACTGTAACAATCAGCAGATTGGCCAAAGTGAAAAAGGCAACAAGATCAAGTCTTGATGAAAGTGTTGCAAGACATGCCACCCTCACACATTGACAGTGGAAATGTAAGAGGGTACAGTCACTTTGGAAAACAGTTGGCTTGTTTCTTACAATATTAGAAAGAAACATACTATATGACTCAACAATTTCATTTCCAGGTATCTACTCAAGATAAATTTAAAAGACAAGCCCACACAAAATACTTGTAAACCAATGTTCATAGCCGCATAATTCATATAGCCTCGAATAAAAACAATCCAATATCCATCAACTGGTGAAAGGACAAACAAAATGTGGTCCATCATACATACAGTGGAGCATTACTCAGCAGTAAAAAGGAATGAATGGAGATGAACATTAGCATGGCTGAAACTCAAGGATATTAACTGAAAGAAGACACAAAGATTACATATTGCATGAATCCATTTATGTGACATTTCTAGAAGAGTCAGCACTAGAGAATTAGAAAGCAGATCACTGGTTGTCTGCTAGGGGTGGGAATAAAGATTGACTACAAATGGGCATGGGGGAACTCCTTCAGGTGACTGAAAATGTTCAAAAACTAGACTGCTGATGGTTACATTACACACATTGGACAGTACACTCAAAATGGCTGAATTTCAGTTATGTAAATTACACTTCCATAAAGCTGCAAAAAACCCCCACGACCCATGGTTTGTCCTAAATATTATGCAAATTCTTTCAAATCCTCTACCTTTCAAGTATACAACGTAGAGGAATCTATTAAGAAAATTACAGCAACGAAATCCTGCCCCCTCCATCTATTTTGAGAGTTACAAATGTTTTTTTCCACATTTCTAGGGCAAAGGAATATGACCATATGCTTATTTTGTAAGTGGACAGAAGTCTGTTCTTTTAGAAAAGCTGGATGGATGGCAGTTATAAGGAATCTCTTGCTTTAGACGTTTTATTATACTAAAATTTAAATATATGAAAGTAAGCAAGTTGAATACTTTAACAATGCGGTTTTCTATGAGGCAGCTACAGCTCAGTAACTGCTAAATAAGTAGGTTAGCATTGTGAACCCCCATCTCCACAAGAATTTCCAATTCATAGAAAACCCTGCTTCACCTAAATCTCCATCCATTTTTTTCGCTCCAGTATTAATCTGAAGCAAATCACAATCCTTCCAATTACAAATTCAGCCTGTATCTATATGATACATAATACTATATCAAAACTATATTAAAGTAACATGTAAATACGGTGCTCAAGTTTCTAATTCTCTCATAAATATATGGCATTTTAATTTTTGATCAGAACCTAGATAAAGTTCATGTTTGATAGGTTAGTGTCTCTTAATCTGATTCTCCCTCCATCTTACTTTTTTGTAATATTCCAACCTGTTGCATCACAGATTGCTTCAAGGTATCCTTTAGTGTATTCTTCTATTCTTTTTGCCTCCTGTCGTGGTACATTTTAACGACTCAGGCTTGGAACCATCTCCCCCAAGCCCTGCTTAGATCTGCCAAACTCCAGCCAAGTTGTACTCTTGAGTGGGGGGAAAAAAAAAAAAAAATGGTTGGAAGCTGTGAGGTAGCTTATTCACATAACTATCGAGGAATATGCCAATACATTAAAATCACTCATAAAATGAATTACAAAATGCATTTACAGTTGCTTGGTACTCTATTTGCGTTTTGAATAAGAGCTGGCACAGCCAGATCCTGGGGTTTGTTTACATGACTGGCAATAGGCAGTCCTAGGTGCAGTGAGACCATGGTACCTGGCACTGATACTGAAATGTACGACGACAGGAGGCAAAAAGAATAGAGGAATTCACTAAAGGATACCTTGAAGCAACCTGTGTAAGGCAACAGGTTGGAATATTACGAAAAAGTAAGATGGAGGAAGAATCAGATTACGAGTTTGCCCCTTGGGAACACAGGGCTTGAACAACACTTGCCTGTGAACTGTTTGAAATCCTCTCACAAAAGCCCGGGTTTTTAAGTGAAACTAAAACAATACCTTCTCAGAGCAGAGTGCCAGCAGACACCGCTCAGACCACATCCTGACTGGCTCTCCCAGGGTACAAGCAGGTGGGTGGGTGGAGAGTTCTGCAAGTCAGAGCAGCTTACATTTCACTTTTTGTTTTTGGTTTCCAGGAATTTCCTTAGTCTGTTTCCTCTTTTCAATTTATTACCCATTACTATTGTTTTTCTCCTCTTGGTTTACTATGTTCAGACTCATAAAGTTCAGAGTGTTTACTTTCTTATTTCTCAAAAGAATTCTCTCCATTCCAGAGGTTTTGTTTTCCTTTTGAAGGGGATACAAAGGATCCCTCTTACCCATCTCCCTACACAGGCTTCTCTGACTTAGATCCTACAGGGAAAGACAAAAACACATATTCTTGACGCTGGGTTGATGGGAAAACAGAGAATGATACATTGCAGGGGGAAACAACTCAGTTAATTCAAATTTAATTATTTTTGAGTTGGAACAGACACACTGAATATAGCACGGTAACTTTCTAGATGGGATCCATGGGGACCAAGTGACTTGGTTTATCACGTCAATGTCTGAGCTGGGATTAGATGGCAGAGACACAGGTGAGGGCTTCCAGTCGCCCAGCCTCTGGACATGCCATGAGCTGGGGGTAGAACTAGTATTAGGCACACATTCTGCACCATTTCTACTGTTTGAGCAGTTATTTTTTCCTTTACTGCTGTGTTCAGTGGGTGTGCGCAAACGCTGGCTACCATGACCAGAAACAGCAGAACTGTTCTTGGCTTTTTAAAGTTCCATCTTACAGCCTGCATTCTTTTTAATCTAATCACATGGAAATATTAATAGTCATGATATTGCTGAGAATGGCTTCTAGGGCTGACTTGGGTCCACCGGTCAACACAGAAGCACAGAATGATCCAGATGGAAAGCCGCACCTAACACAGCAAGTTTTGTATGGCTGCCTCCTGTTACAGGAGTCATATGTGAATGGGAGTGGCTGTATTCCAATAAAACTGTCCTTACAAAAACACACAGCAATCCAGTTTTGGCACAAAGGCCACAGCTTACTGCTCTAGGTAGTAATTATTTGAAATGGCAAAGCTTGGGTTGCAAAAGAGATTCTATGATTAGCAGTGCATCAGCAGTATGACTTTGGGATGTCATCTTACCCTTCCTGAGCTTCTTGAATCTCTTGCTGGACTAAACCTGAATATAGGAGGACCTGTGTGCATGTAGGTGGAAGTACACATGCGTGTAAGACAGAACACACATGCGGCTGTTCACAGATGGACTTCAGACTCTAGATGGCCCAGAAATGGTGTGCAATATACGTCTATATGCCTATTTGTATTTTCACACAATGGCTCCAGCACTTTCATGAGATAAAACAAAAACAATTAGGAATAACTGGACAAGATAACTGGTAGATCTTTGCAGTGGTAAAATTTAAGGGAACAGGATTAAAAACCATACATACATACACACACACATAGGTGCGTGCATGCACACACAGTTTGCTATTAGATAAGTGGTTGCACTGTATACTTGTATCTGTTTATTTTATGGAGAAATGATGAGAGACAGGCCTAGTAGCCAAAAAGAGAAAAATAATACAAAATTAAATATACACAAAAGTTAATCATACAATAAGAACTGAAAATATATTCAAATAATTGCAAGCCTGTAAAAAACATTATAAAATAAGTTACCTTATGCTTAATGTTTTTGTCTATGGATTTGTTATTTGTTGTAACAAGTTTTATTTATGAAAAATTAAGACCAACTTTAAGAGGTTTCAATATTCACTTTTTTTATTTATAAAAAAAAATAAGGTATCAGAGTGCATATGGTGTACGGTGATCTTGGTTTTGCACATTTGTTCAAGTGTTTTACATTATTTCAACTTTAATAAACAAACCACATCTGTATTTTTACAACACCTGATAAAGATGTAGCTGTCTGGCATTGATACACGCTATTAATTTATTCGGATGTGCTGCACCTTCAAGAGGACGTTCAAATGACTTGCCTGTGATGACTCCAAGTTGACTTATTGAAGCAGTTATGCTTCAGCGACTGCCACTTGCTTGTGCCAGTTCTATGTTTTCCCCTTAATTAAATGTAAACGTTTGCCAAAATTAAAAAAAGAAAAGAAAATCTGGAAATGAAGTTCTGTTAATTTTTAGTCCAATAAATAATTTCAGCTACGTTTAACGTAGCTTTTTTAAGGCCTTCATACAATTGAAAAAAATTAAAGTTGAGCATGTTAAAACCCTGTTCATTTATAAAATAAAAAATAGAATTGTACAGGTTTGCAGTTAAAAGTTATTGTTCAAAATCTATCATGCACGTAATAAGTTGCAACCCAAATCAAAGGCCTAGGTGCTGGCAGGCAGGGCACATCCCTTGTGCCAGCAACGCAAGGCATTAGGAAAACACCATGTCAGAGGTCTAGACTTACATGTATTAAGCCACACACCAGTGAATTCTCTGATAAATACACATCGTTTTAATAATCAGCATTTGATAGTGGATGAAAACATGCATTAGACTAAAAACGCCACAAATTAGTTTTTATATCCATTCACTATAAAACTTTCTTTTTTAAAATTTAAAGTCTTGGTTCCTATTTTAGAATACACAATAATCCGGAGGATACATGATGGGGAGCCAGTTTTCAGTAAAAGATGCACAATGGGTCCATCCAAGTAACTTCATCAGCTACAACAAAACACAACCATTTGTATTACTAAAGGAAATGACAGGTTTTCAAGTGCAGTATTTAGGGTGAAGTCTATACCAGGCATTTAGCAACAGTATTAGATATTTCGTAGCTGCATAGAGAACCTTCCTTCTACCAACCAAACATCAACTCACCCACCCATTTGTCTTGCTTCCTACCAACCAACTACCCTTTCTTACTATCAACTTATCAGTCAATGTTTCTACCAACCAATCTATCCTTCTTATTATTCTCCCTATCAATTTTCCTTTTCTCTCTTTCCTACTAACCTGTCTTCCCTGCTTCCTTCCAACCAACCGAACTTCCTATATTTTTTTTGTGCCCACTATTAAGTCAAGCACCGCTCCAGGCATCGGGAAAACAGCAGCACTGGACAAACTCACCTCCCACTTTCAGGGGGAAAAAAAAACTTCAAATAATAAATAAGCAAATTAATGAATAGATAAACAAGTAAATAATTAAGATATTTATCAAGTACACAGTGAAAAATAATACTTGATATAATACAAAGTAACTGGGAAGGTCAAGAAAGGATCTCTGAAGAGATGACACTTAAGGTGAATATGAACGACAAGAAGAAATCTACTCTGTGAAAATACAGGGGAAGAACTTTCCACATAGCTGGACGAGTTAGTGCTATGTTCCTTTGGTGGGAAAAGGATGTAGCTGTTTCAGAGAAGCAGAGAGGCTGGTGTTTATACTGGCAAACGTGATATGGCTAGAGAGCTAAACTGGGCCTGTGGGCCACAAGGGGGAGAATGGATTTTACTCTAAATGTGATCAGGATTCACCAGTAGGTGCAAACATCTTTTCCAGCTGCTATGTGAAGAATAGACAGTAGAGGGCAGAGTGGAGGTGGGACAAGTTCTAATACAACCTGGATGTGAATATCTGTGGGGATTACTGGCTTCACAAACGTCAGTGCTCACAGGTTACAATTCTATGTGATGCTGAGAACCACCCTAGACATATCAACAGCTGGCTCCAGAAGAGTCCTCTCAATCTTGCCAAAGATCTGAAGGATTCCTAAAATGTCTTACAATTTAGACTGAATGGTGAGAGTAAACACAGAAAGTTCTAAGAGTAAATATAAACCACAGCCACTCTATCAAATAATTTCAGAGGAATCTACTGGTCAGTTTTACATCCAAAGCATACCTTAAATATAAAGTATAATTAACCCAGACCAGCCTCTTAGCTGAATTGGGAACCACCTGAGTCCCCTACCTTCATCTTTTAGGCATAAGCCTATTACAAAAAGAAAAAAAAAAAAAGTACAAAGGTGAGACTACAATCTTTTCTGTAAAATTCAATACGTTTTTATACTTACAATTAATTTGTGCATAAGGCTCAACTATAGAATTCCTCTGCATATAATATATATGCTAAAATAATTTATGGCTTATCATCTCAAATGAAGAAAAAAAAAATCAAACATAAATTTTAAAAGTTCAACCATTTCAGAACTGAGGCAACAAGTATTTTAAAGGAATTCTCTGTTTCTCTCATAAAAGAAAACTGTCTTCTACCTATACAAAATTCAAAATGCACTTTGGCCTTACTGAAAACATTTGAGGCTAATACAGGATTTTTAGATATGAGCGAAAAATGTTTTAAAATTTTAAATAGCTTATTGACTGCCACATATTTTTATTGTATAGTTCACATTACACTAATTAGTGTAATACTGGTCACGATAAAATCAGTAATTGTTACATCACTGCTTTAAGCCTTTCTAGTTATCATGTCACTATGAAATACTGAAGTGACACTTAACAATGATATTTTAAATATCACTTACTTGAATACAATTTTTCCAGTTTTCTTTTGTTGGTTTTTCTTCTACAAGTTTAGTTGCAAATTTAAGGCCTCTCCCATACATTTTATTTACTAGTGCATGCTTATATGCAAATGTCAAAACCTAGAATACACAATAAAATAAGCTTATTTACTAAATACATTTTAAGCCATATAGCTTTAATAATGAAGGAATTAAAGCTTTAATAGGAGTGTAGCTCTTGAAATGAATATGCTACATCAAATACATTTTTCAAAACTTTTTAAACAAACAATTAGTGTTTTCAAAAGAGTGGGACATTCCACAGAACAGATAATTTATTTTTGGAAAGAAAAAAATATAAGAAATTGTTTGTTGCTAAAATTCATTTATTGGCCGGGTTTGGTGGCTCATCCTGTAATTCCAGTGCTTTGGGAGGCCGAGGTGAGCGGATTGCCTGAGCCCGTGGGTTTGAGATCCACCTGGGCAACTTGGTGAGACCTCAATTCTACAATAAAAATCAAAAAATTAGCCGGGCGTGGTAGCGTGCGCCTGTAGTTCCAGCTACTTGGAAGGCTGAGGTGGAAGGATCGCCGGAGCCCAGCAGGTGAGGCTGTGGTGGCCGGGAGTGGCCACTGCACTCAGTCCGAGCGACAGAGTAAGACTCCCAACTCAAAAAAAAAAAAAAATTCATTTATCTATGCCTCTTCATACAAAAGAAGCCAGAGCTAACATAAATGGTTACAAAGATGCAAATTAGGAGAGAAATACAATAATGTAAAGAGTTGGTATAAATTGCCAAAACTGCAAATGAAGATAAAAGTTAAAAAAAAATTGGTAACAGATTGTATAAACACACTCCTTTTACATATGCCTGTCATTATTGCACCTGTCGTGTACTTGGTAAGCATTTATTTATATTTTGGGTTTCCAATTTAGAATGTAGAAAATGTACTCAAAGAAAGGAATTCTGTCACATTTTATCAACTTGTACTCTAAAGTCAAGCAAAATGTTAAAAAATTGTTGCCATAAACATAGTAAACAGACAGGTAATAACATTTATAGCCCCTAATCTAGGAGTACTATTGCATAAACAGAAACATCTCTAACAATCTTATTATGATGTTCACCAAGTGTTTCTCGATCTCTGGTACATTCCTCAACAACAGGGAAGCAGTGTTCGGTACATAGCAGGCCTTCAATAACTGTTTATAAAAGTAACAGCAAATATTGTTGGGGACCTTCCATATACTTAATACTCATTCTAACAGCCCATGTCAGGTAGTAGAGATAAGAAACTGAGACATCAAAATTTAGTAAACTTGCCTAAGGTCACAGATAAAAGTGGTAGAGGCAGTAGTCAAACACAAGAGGTCTAATTTCAGAAACAAATTCTTAACCTCTGTTGCAGTGCTGACTCCTTCAGTTTCCTGGATATGACTGAGCACCTTCTATAAATGCACTACTGTGCTGTGGTGGGAAAATGTGAAGCATACAAGAATTGCTCCTTATTTTCAGCATTCTTTTTTGTTTGTTTGTTTTTTGAGTTGGAGTCTCACTGTGTTGCTCAGGCTGGAGTGCAGTGGCACACTCACGACCACTCCAGGATCGACCTGTTGGGCTCTGGAGATCCTTCCGCCTCAGCCTTCCAAGTAGCCGGAACTACAGATGCACACTACCACACCCGGCTAATTTTTTAAAAAAATTTATTATAGAGATGAGGTCTCATTAAGTTGCCAGGGCTGGTTTCGAACCTGCCCGTGAGCTCAGGCCATCCACTCGTCTTGGCCTCCCAAAGTGCTGGGATGACAAGCTGAGCCACTGAGCCCAGCTCTTACAGTGTTTTTTACTGCAAATCACCACAGTTAATCCTGAGAACAAGCAGGTGTCTACTAAAACATGGTGTGTGCCGGGTGAGGAGACTCCTACAGATTTTATTGATTTTCTTTATCTCTATAGCAAAGAAAGGTTGATAAAAAACGTATATAATTTCTATTGCAAGAATTTTAGTAGAGATGCAAAAGGGATTTAAAATGTTTTTATGCCTAAAATCCAAAAAAGTTCATCCATGTTACTTTTCCCAAACTGGGTTTTAAAACTGCTCAGCTAAAAATCAAGATGATAATTATTTAGAAGCTAAAGATTCCTGAGGAAAATAAATAGTAACAAAACTAATCAGCATGCATCCTAAATCTCACATGGCCAATAGATAGCATATCAACAGATATGGGGAGTCCTGAAGACTTTTTAAATTAGCTTCATACAGACCTGGCTTAACTACTGCAAATATTCTCAAACTGTTTTCAAAATTATTGTGACTAAACAGCCACTTTGCAAACAGATAAAATGACAGTAAAATGTTTTTAAAGCAGGTAGGACAATGTGAGGTATCAGGCTAAGCATGATGTCTTCTTCAGAGTGTGGCTTAGCCGCTTCACCTTATTTTCTTCCTCTTCTGGCGAGCAATGGAGCACCAGAGAGGTTTGTGAGGTTACCCCAAGAACCGTGCTAAAACAAAGGAGAAACGTTACCTTATTGTCAAAAAGATCAGTCCATTTTGTAGTTTCCCAAAATGTTTCTGCCAGAGAATCCAAAGTGGTTTCTCCTTCCTCTTCTTTTCCTTCTACATCACTTGAAACAGCCCCATCCTGAATCTCCGTGTGAAGAAGATGGTCGGCCAGTGCACAACCTTTCCTGCAAAGGGCGTCTACAAGAGTCGATTTTTGTTTGTCCATATCACTGTATAGGAAATCGAAAAATATTTCACATATTAGTAAAATGTCTTTAAAAGTACAGACTAAACTCATGCAGTCTAAGATTGACAATGCAGAAATACATGTCCATGTATATACTTGTGCATTATAAATAAGATGCCTTATATTAATAAACATCAAATGAGTCACTATATTAGATATAGATTAAATGAGTTAGGGTAGCGGCACCTGGCTGAAACAGAATGCCATAAGCAACAGAGTTGAAAGATTAATAACTACTCTAAATTCTGTAAGCCACATAACTCATAATCAGGATAATATCTTTTAAGTCTTTAGATTTCCTATAAATAGCAATTACTATGTATTCGTCTATGAGTAGGCACAGATATACAAAGAGGTTATCTAGTCATGTTCATGACTAGAGCAAACAAATATAAAGCTGACTGAATGTGACAGCAACTGTCTTACAACTCTATGAGTAGATATTGTTAATTACCATAATTTTGCAAAGGACGAACTGAGGCTCAAAGAGATTAGGTAATTTGTTCAAGGCCCTCTAGTTAGGAAGCGGCAGACTCAAGATTCTAAGTTTAGCAGTCTGGTTCTGGAATCTGTGCTCTTAATGATTATGGTAAAGTGCCTTACTTCAGGGAAAACATCTTTGTTTTCTTCCACAGCATTCCAAACGCCTAGGACAATGCTTGGCACAGAACATACACTCAATAAATTATTGTTCCACGAAATATAACAATAACTCACAATCCAGGGAAACATGTTCGTCTCTAGAGAGCTTACTTGAGGCATTTTGTCCAACTTGTGTCAGGTACATGTGAAGTCAAAGAGGACTACGTTATACTGATAAAATGACAATGAGGCACTTAGCCTTGAATGACTTAACAGTAAGAGTTATCCTGAGAACCCACAGTGGAATGTGCAACATGTGAAATCTGCTGGGACTAGGTAATCAACAAGGAAAGACATTAGCAGGAAAGACAACTACGGACCCAACAACTTGAGGGCTCAAGGCCTCATCCACTAATCCTGCACACCAAGGAGTCCTGCTAATTTAAGAAGCTACATGGCAGGGATGTGAAGCCTAAGTATCAAGGAAAATGCCACTGCTGAAACATTGCCCAAGACTGGGGCACTCTCAGAGGCTCAAAGCCCACTTGATCCTGGACCTTGAAAGTGAGTGGGAGGAAAGGTGGATGCTAGAGCTACCAAGAAATTCTTTCATATTTGCAGAGTTCATCAAAGAGGGCAGTTAACAATCTCAACACATTTGCAATGTGGATGAAACTATGCCCAAAAGATGCCTATAAATTTCTCAGCCAAAAGATTCAAAGCTTTAACAAATCTACTTTCACTCCCTTTGGAAATGTGTCTGGGGACTGCACACTTTGGACTTAAGAACAAAAAGATTTGCCAACAGCCTTTTGGGACTGAAAAGCTGTGGGGCATCTACATGGCTTCTTATCAAGTGAGCCACGCTCCCTTCCCTACCTTTTAGATGCCAGGCACCATGCTAAGTGTCTTCTTAGCAGCACTTCACTCATGCTTCACAACAACCCCAGTGGTCAGGCACAGCTACTAGCCCCATTTTGTGAAGGAGAAAGGGGCCCTTGGGACAAAATGGGTCGACAAGACAGGTTTCCTCAACCATGCCAATGCTGGCCAATGGGTCCTGGCTGGCCAGAGAAGGGTTGGAAGGATGCAGAAGTCAGAGGCAAGCTGGGGGTGACACAGGTGTTCTGTACTTGCCAGACCTGGATTAAATCACCTGTAACATTCCTTTCTATTTTAGTGTCCTTGGATCCAATCATCTGTCCTTGCCTACACTCTCATAACTCTGCACTGACTGGCTCAGGTTGATTACCATGTTAATCCACGAGGCCTTCCCCACTCAGAAGGTGGTCAGCTTTCCTTTCTATAGGCTTTTGCAATTTGAAGTATTTATTTACAATAGGTATATTTTATATCTCTTAATCATTTCCTATCTGGCAACTTCATCTTCTGCATTAGACTATATGTTTTCTGAGAGTACAGAGTATCTTGTTCATTTTTAAAGTCTTTCTCAGTGATGCCTTTTCTATACCATATGTGCTCAATAAGCATCTTGTGAAGCAAATCTAGTGATAATAGCTACGTTTTAGGAAGCAACTTGATTGGAATCAGATGCTTTAATGCCTAAATAAGCACAGTTCAAATGTAACTACATGTAATGATGAGATCACCTTTAAAAAGTTAGTATTTTTAAAATTATAAAACAGTTATCTTATAATTCTTGACAGTGATTTAAATCAAAGCAATTTTGCATATAAATAAGACATTAATACTTAAGTCTGCTGCTACTTCCCAACAGATTATACCTATAAGAAATAGCAACTATTTCCTGATCAAATCTTATCTTGAAAGCAATATATTTCAAGACTGAATATAGTCCTCTGTTCAAACCCAATCTGAGCAAAGTCCACTTCAATCAGGCTGAAGCAAAAGTCTGGAGAAAAATACCTTCATTACAAGGATGGACAAGTTGATCCAATGTTGCTAAAACCTAAAGTAGCTCCACTCTTAGCATTTTTATGAGGTTTTATGACTACTCTCTAGTTTTATATCAGTTTATTTCCAATAGTCACTATAGTCAGGGTCCAGCATCCTCCAAGAAAAAACAAAAAGAGTGAGAAAAAAGACTAGTGAGAAAACAAAACCAATATTGTATTTCTGACTCACTTTAATCTGGAATTGAGTTTCCTTTGTGGATGGTAACATTTGCAACATTATTCACAATAGCAAAAATATGGAACCAACCATGCTGTCCATCCAAACTGGACTGGATTAAAAAATGTGGTACACCTACACAATGGAATATTATGCAGTCATAAAAGACAAAACATATGGACTTTGCATCAACTTGGATGGATTTAGAGTCTATAATACTCAATGATCTATCACAGAACCCAAGAACTGAGTACCACATATTATCACTCATAAGCAGACCCTGAACATTTACCAGAATATTATTAGAAAGGGATTGGCAGTAGTGGGATACTACCCGGGGCGTGGGGAGAGAGTGGCACACAATATCAGTAGGTTACCTGATCTCAAAGCAGGTGAAGTAGGGACCAAAGGGAGGCCCAAACTTTACCTGTACAATGGCCACTTGTATACCTAATCCGGAATTATACTCCACATCTTTAAAATACAAAAAAAAGAAAAAAGAAAAAACCCATAAACCTTAATATTTACTGAAATTTCAAAATGAGCCATATGTGCTATTCTGTATACACCTAAATTTGAGGAAATGATCTTATTTACACAAACTGTAAGAGGTAACATAGGAGACAGCTGATGTCAGGTGCTTCAGCAAGGTCAAGGAAGACTCTAAATGGGCCACTATTTCTAGCAGCTGGTTATCGCTGGTGATCTGGGGATGACAGTTTTAAAGTGATCAAGGCCAAACTCCACTTATTAGTAATAAGATTAACACTGATCACTCACTGAGACAAAGGAAAGCATGAGCATGGTTAGGCAGGAAGGCGATGCCCCTATTTTTTTCTGTGAGAGAAAATGAGTTATGTTAATCTTCTCAAGAAGGGAAAAGGAATATAAGGAGAAATAGGGAACAGGCAGATCCTGGATACAGCGCCTGCTATGACTACTGGCCTTCTCAATTCCTTGTACTGGCACCTCCACCAAGTCATTCAACCTACCTGAATTTCAGTCACTTTCATAAAAGGAGGGTGAAAACGTCCCTACTTCACACACTGCTTGAAAGACTACATTTAAATGAGACAATGTATTTGAAATGCCTCAAAGAGTCCCTTATCCATAATTGGCACTTAATAAATGGGTTATACTCTCTATTATTATTTACAACAATAACAAGAGGGCAATATTTTGAGATTATTCTTTCAAAAAATATAAAAGGTAAAGTACTAACAATGGCCAAACAACCAATTTTAAATAAAATTGAAAATTACTGCTTGTTAGATTCATAAGGTCCTATAATATCAATCCTATAACATCAATAAAACAATGTAATGTCAAGAGTTCCAGCAGTTTAGAATCCAAGTATTTTATGTAGAAAAAAATATTGACTGAAACAGATTAAATTCTAAGGGAAAAGTATAGCACTTTCAGGTAACCTGAACAGTTTTGACTTATTAGCAACACTAACCATAAAGAAAAGAGAATATTTCTACCCTTGTAAGTTAATGATCCTACTAGGCTAAAAATAAACCAAAATGATAAACAACAACAACAACAAAAAACAATATTGGGAAGGCTACCACAAAGTGATGGTTTAAGAGTTCACTGGAGGGTAAAACTAACCAAATGGCAGCTTGGCTCAAAGAGTCAATGGACCACTATACCAACGTATGGAAACCATATTTTTTTTTTTTTGAGTTGGAATCTCACTTGATTGCCCAGACTGGAGTGCAGTGGCCGCTCCTGGCCACTGCAGCCTCGCCTGCTGGGTTCCAGTGATCCTTCCGCCTCAGCCTTCCCAGTAGCCGGAATTACAGGCATGCCAACCACGCCCGGCTGATTTTTTGATTTATTGTAGAGATGAGGTCTCGCTGCCCAGGTGGGTCTCGAACCCGTGGGCTCAGGCAATCCACTCACCTCAGACTCCCAAAGACGCAGGATTACAGGCTGAGCCACCGAGCCCGGCTGGAAACCATATTCTTACATGAGAGGAACCATGACAATCACTCATAAACCCAGGCAAGTCTCTCTATGTATGTATAGTATTAGGTTTTATCATGGCTAAAGACAATTTTCCCCTTCCATTCTCTCCAAGTAATACTGTAAAGCCAGTTTCATAAAACTAAAGTTGCTAGATAACAATTTTAACTTTAATTTTATTTTTTGTCATTTATTTCACTAGGCATTACAAATGCAATTTTAGGTTTTTCATGTCATTGGTCAGTAAATAGTTTATGGGGTGTTGCACTTTTGCCTTCTCCATATGGTCCAGTTCACACAAATGCTCAAGTGGCTGGACAGTTTGGTCACAGCTATTCAAATCCCTCCACCTCAACAGCACTTAATGGTAGAGATGGCAAACTATTTTCCTTGGGGTTAGTCTTAAAAGATTCAAGAAAATTAACAAGTTAACTAAGAAATGAGATGCAAGAAAGATTATTTACTGGTTAGGTACTTTTTTATAGTAGCTGCATCAGGCCTAGGATCAGTCTTCATTGCAATATAAACTGCTAGAGCCGTTTGGTCTATATGAGAAATAACAGCATTTGCAGCTTCAACAATTTCATTAAGTCTTTTCATTCGTTCCTGGGGAGGAAAAAGAAATAATAAACAATGGATATATCGATCAGTATCAACTAGCATGCAAAAGCATTTTCACTTCTGTTGTCTCAGTCATGAGAGTCACAACTGCAGTGTGAGGGAGCTGCGTCCTCTACCTGCAAGCCATCTCCTAAGGTGTTTTGTGATTGTTAGTACGTAGAAAACTTGAGCGCTGATGTGAAAACACCTAACTTACATTCCCTACTGCAGTCCAGGGTAAGAGTAAGCAAAAGTTCAGAAAAATGTGTAGTTTTTTTTGGTTTGTTTTTTTAACAAAGGCAACTCCTTTTCTGCATTTCTCTAGAAGTTAAAAAAAGACTAAATGATGAAACACATTCTTTCTAATTCATCATTAAGAACACAAAGATGACAATAAACAAAATTATAATTAACAGAGTCTATAATCACTATATAGCAATTTACTTCTGTCTTGTTAAAGTTTTTAAAAAGAAGTCGATTTCCTATCAATACCCTGTAGATTACTACTCTAAACCCTTAATGATTTTTAATTTATTATGGTTCGCACTTTCCTGCTGCCATGATTACTAATGAGAGCTGGTTCATGCTATGACAGTTTGGACCTATGGCTAATTCTCCCAAATGAGTTGACGCACAGTAGAAATACTTCTTCTTTCAGTGAACATGCTTCAGATTTCTAACCGGCAAGGACCCCTGTCGTCTGCATCGTGCTCTTTAAGTTAAGGTCACGAAAGCAATCCTTAGGTTATCTTGTCCATTTACTCTTACTGACCAAGCATGAGAAAGAATCCTACACTAAACTTACAGCAGTGGCCAGGTCCTACAATTGCCTTAATGAAAACAGCTTCAGTAAGAACAGAAGACAAAGATAATGATGCTCTTTTATTCAAAACTCAAATCTTACCTAATATTACAAGCAAAATAAGATACATTAAGAATAAACATATCCAACCTTTTCAGCATCCAACTGGTGAAGTCGCGCAACATACAGAGGAAGATAATTAGGATATGTTTCTTTCAATTCATTATAAATGTCACTAGAATCCAGCCTATGTATGTAAAAAAGAGAGAAACATTTACTTTTTTCTTTAACAACAACAACAACAACAAATCTGTTTTCCCCTATTTAACATTGTTTGGAAATTCTAGCCAATAAAATAAAGCAGCAATCTGAAATATAAGTATACTTATTGACAAAGATTATCATTATTGGTAGGTAGTACAAATGCCTACTTAGAAAATCAAGAAATTCAAACTAAAAATTATTTCAATTAAAAGTTCAATAAGATGTTCAAACAAAAATATGCATCAATAGCTTTCTTACGTATCAGCTAAGAATAAATTAGATTTATTAAAAAGGAGAAAACACACATTCACAAATAGCAAGAAAGATAAGATTTCGAAATGTCTAAGATCTACAAGAAGAAAATTTTAAACTCTTCTAGAAATTCTAAAGCCTTGAATGAATAGACAGTTCATATTCCCAAATGGGGAAGCTGAATAAAACTATGTCAGCTCTTCCTGAGCATATGCATTAGGATAAAAACAATCCAAATTAACAATCCAAATGGTAACTAGCAACAGAGATAGGTCACTTACATTAAATTCACTTAATGTATTGTCAAAATTTCAAAGTGATAGCATAACTTTTTATGAAAATATATTTAACTTAAGGACAACAAAGTATTACACTTATTCTTAGTACAAAAAAAAAAAAAATCTAGTTGTTTTTCTCCCCACCCCACAATTATACATGAGCAAAAGCAGCATTTTTAAAAACCACAGCTTATTCATAGAGAGGGTTCCCCCCCCCCCAAATATTCTAAGGCTTTATAAATTCTGCCAGGGACCTCTAGTAATTCTTGGCAATTTTCTTCTAAAACACCTAATGAGTCAACAACCTTTTCAATGCTACTTCCTGCATGTTTCTGAATAGTCTAACCACATTTGTTATGGCTTTGGGAATCATTTGTCAAGTTCTTTAACATTATTTGCATCAATTTTATTAGCTCTTGCATCTTCTACAAGATTTGTAATTTCATTGCTCAAAAACAGAGATAATTCACACACCATACAATTCAGCCATTTTAAAAGTGTGTAGTTCAATGTTTTTGGTATATTAATAGATATATGCAACCATCACAGCAGCCAACTTTCAAATATTTTCATCAGCACAAGAAATCTCCATACCCTTTAGTTATTAGCCCTTCCCAGCACCCTCATCAGTTCTGCTCAGCCTGAAGCAACCACTAAAGTAAACCTCTATACTTTTTGTCTCTATAGGTTTCTCCATTATGAACATTTAAAATGAATGGAATCGTATAATCCACTTAGCATAGTTTTTTCAAGTTTCATTCGTGCTGTAGCACGTAACAGGCAATTTTTATGGCTGAATAGTATTCCACTGTATTGATACACCACATTTTGTTTATTTATTCATCAGCTGATGGACATTTGGGCCATTATGAGTAATGCTGCTATATAAACTTTCACGTACACATTTTCGTTTTAATATAGGTTATTTTCCTTGGATATATCTAGAACGGACCTGTCTGGACCTTATGAAAACTATGTTTAATTATGTGAAGAGCAGTCAAATTGTTTTCCAAAAAGGTTGCATCATTTTTTAGATTCCCGTCAGCAGTGTCTGAGAATATGCTTTCTCTACATACTTGCCAAAAACTTATTATCTGACTTTTTGATTCCAGCCATACTGGTGAGTGTGAAGCAGTATTTCACTATGGTTCTGATGCATGTTTCTGTAGCGCATCTTTTCATTTGCTTATTGGTCATTTGTGTATCTTCCTAATAGAAATGTCGAATTAAGTTTTTCATCCTTATAAGACTGGGCCCATTTGCTTTTGTATTACTGTAAGGTAGTAGTTCTTTATATATTCTGGATACAAGTTTCTTAGAAACAAATAACTTGCAAATGTTTTCTCTCATTTTATAGGTCATTCTTTTCATTTTCTTGATGCTTCAAAGCACTAAAGTTTTTGCTACTCGTGCTTTTGGTATTTTAACTAAAAACCGCCCAATCCAAGGTAATAAAGATTTGCCACTATGTCTTCATTAAGGAGTTTTATAGTTTTAGCTCTTTGATGCATTTTGAACTAATTTGTATATATGATGTAAGACAAGGGTCCAACTTCATTCTTCTTCCATATGGCTGTTCAGTTGTGCCCACATCCTTTGTTAAAAAGACTGTTCTTTCCTCATTGAATGGTGTTGGCATTGGCACCTTTGTTAAAAAAAAAAATCTGATGACCACAGACACATGGTTTTATTTTCTGGCCTCTTAATTGTATTCCATTGATCTATATGTCTTATCCTTGTGCCAGTAAAGTACTGTCTTGTTCACTGTTGCTTTGTAGTAAGTTCTGAAATTAGGAAATGTGAGTCCAACTTTGTTCTTTTTCAAGATTGTTTCACTATTCTGGGTATCATGTGATCCATGACTTTCAGAATCAGCTTATTAATTTCTACAAAGAAGTCAGCAAGGATTCTGATGGCGATTGCATTAAAGTTTTAGATCAGTGTGGAAAATACTTTATTAAGTCTCCTAATCCATAAACATGGAATATTTTTCCATTTACTCAGGTCTTCAATTGCCTTCAATAATGTTTGGCAATTTTGGAGTATTAGTCTTGCATCTCTTTTGTTAAACATTTTCCTACATATTTTCTTTCAATGTTATTGTAAATGAAATTTTCTTTATTTTCTTTTAATATGGCTCATATATTTAGACTTAAGTCTGCCATTTAAGTTTTTGTTTTCTAGGTATCCATGTCTTTTTTGTTCTTCTGTTCGTTCTTTATGGTTTTCTTTTGTATTAATATTTTATGAGCATTTAAATTTCTTTAATGATCTTTTTGAGTTTTTTTTGTGTGTGGTTGCTCTAAGACTTACCATATGAGGGGGGAACCTCCCAAAAAAGAAACTTATTTATAAAAAATTGTGTATTTATTCTTACACATTTAAACTTCAGTTACCTTCAAAGTACTCTCCGTGTGATGCAATATACCTATTGAGATGCCTTTTCCACTGCTCAAAACAGTTTTTGAACTCATCAGTGTTGATGCCTTTTCGTGTCTCTGCTGTTTTTTGCTTCACCTCTTCGATGCTGGCAAAACATTTCCCTTTGAGAACTTTTTTCATCCAGGGAAACAAAAAATAAGTCATTTGGGGCAAGATCAGGTGAATAGAGAAGGTAGAGTGTGAGAGTCATGACATTTTTGGTCAGAACTGCTGAACACTCGGTGTGGTGTGGGTAGGTGCACTCATGAATCATCCCTCATGAAATGGACAAACATGCTGAAAGAATCTCCAAGAAAAAAAAAATTCCCTGCAGCTGAACACAGCCTCTCACAGCAACATTAGCTGGTACACTGATGTCAATGGGTACAGCGGGGAAGACTGTATTACAAAAGGCCCACTCTCCAAAATGTAATTCTGGTTATTTTGGGGCCTCCCTGTTGTGTACATTTCAACTTATTAGAGTCAATTTCAGATTTTTCCTAGCTTAATTGCATCGAAATATAGAAACATTATCCAATTATAGCTCTATTCCTTTCTCTGGCATTATTATACTATAACACCTATTAATATTATACACCAATTAATTCATGGGTACAATGATCAGTAACTTTACTATCCAGTCACTTCCTTAGCCCAATAGTTTTGTTCCCACCCATCTCCTTTGTGCTGTTAATGACATATTACAAAGCATATGTATTATAGAACATACTTTAACCCTTTGCACTCAAATGTCCCCTCTGAGGAGACATAAAGAGATGGCTGATGATTAAACAGGATAAACTTATGCCAGTATAAATTCTTCAAACATGTATGCTTCCTTGAAGTTTTCCATTCAAACTGCATGAAAAAGCAGATATGAACAGACACTTCACAAAAGAAGACATTCGAGAAGCCAACAAACACATGAAGAAATGCTCAACCTCACTAATCATCAGGGAGATGCAAATGTGTGAAGTGTTTTTAACAGTGATGCACAAACTAGACAATAAATGACATATTAATGTGGGAGGAAGAAAACAGTACTGCACTGTCTACTCGAATGGAAAAACATCAAGCAGAAGACATCGAATTGCTACTGCATAACATGTATCAGTCAAACTGCAAAACAAGCTAGTGATTGTTTCACATATGTTAGAAAAATGTAAGATACAAAATTTTGATTTTTTTGGCATAAATAAGTTCTTCAATTCCCCAAATTTCATTATAAGTCATATATCATTACAATAAAACAATTGGTTCCAATGCTATACTATTTAATGTGAAGTGACTTGTTTTTCATTATTTTGTAAAAAAGTGTGGTTGAGTTGTTGGAAGGTGATACACGAGATGTCTCTGAGTGCAAGGGGTTAATTATGTTATAGGTCTAGCAATGTATTATATACACTTTATACAGTTTTTTAAAAAATCAGTTAAGAGAAAAAAGAACTATTCTATCTTTTACAATTCTGTAAAAATTAACTCTATCAGTGTTTCTCTCTGCTCCCACCAATATGGATTGAAATTACTGCCTGGAATCACCTACTTTCAGGTTTAATAACTTTTTGTAGTATTTCTTGGATAGTGGGTCTGCTAGTAACAAATTAGCTCAGTATTTGCTTATCTGGGAAAGTCTTTTTTTCTTATTGATTTTTAAAAATTTTGATAAAGATGTGGGGTACAATTCAGGGTTAGGTATACAAATGTTGATTATGCAGATATCCTTGCTGATGAGGTATGCCCCTCCCTCCCCTAGCAGTTTCCTTCAACTGCCAATCCCATCCCATCTCCCCTGACAGTTTCCCATTACTGCCAATCCCTTTCTTATAGTATCATAATAATTATTCAAGGTCTGCTTATGAGTGAAAACATATGGGAAAGTCTTTATTTCTTTTCCAGTTTTAAAAGATAGTTTTGCTGGACACAGTATTATTGGTTAAGTTTTCTGAGCATCTTGAATATTATTATCCCACTGCTTTCTGGCCTCCACTGTTTCTGCTCAGAAGTCAGCTGTTAACCTCACTAGAGTTCCCTTATATGATGAGTAGTTTGATCTTATTGCTTTCAAAATCTTCTCCTTACCTCTGACCTTCAGTATCTTTATCAGGATATATCTTTTTGTGGATTTCTTTGCATTTATTTTACTTGACATTCACTGAGCTCTCTATATGTGTAGGCTAATGTCTTAATAAATATGGAGAGCTTCCACTCATAATTTCACTGAATTTTTTTTTTCTTGATCTCGCTTCTCCTGGTACTTTCATTACATGTATTCTGGTGCACTTATGGTATCCCATATTTCTCTTAGGCTCTGTTCATTTTTCAATCTTTTTGAATCACTGTTTTTGAAAGAGCTCTTAGGCATGAACTTCTCCATCTTCTGATATAAACGAAGCCAGTTCCTCAGGAAGGAATTAGGAGCTATCAGTTTTGTGACCTCTTTATGCCTCATTGGAAAAATTGCTAAACCTGAGCTCTGGAGAAACACCCTGAGTAACACCCTCACTTCAGGAGCTGCACTCTCTCCTGAGGTCTTCTTGGTTTGCCTGACTTGGTGTGGAACCACAGCCTTCCAAATAACAGGTCTGAAGTAGTCTCCAGTGTTCTCAACAGTACTTTACAAGTAGGAATTGAGCAAAAGAAGGAAGTCCACACCTCTTGACAATACTCAGCCTGAACTTAGCCTCAGGAACTGGTAGCTGGGAGGGTGAGAAATGATGTTCTGCTCTTCCCAAGAAGAAACCTTCTCTCCGATTGGGAGCCAGGAAAAGGAAGACTGTGTTTTTGATGGCAAGACCTGAAGGCAAGTTTCTGCCTCACTGAAGTAAGAGGGTAAGCAGGGTAGTGGTCTTGGCTCAATATCGCAGATTTTTGCTTTTCTTACCAGATTTTTGTAGATATTTTTGAATAGATGATTTTTTCATTTGCTGTATGCCATTCGGATCATTTCCAATGGCTTTTAAAGGTTGTTTTATAGAAAACAATTTAAACTAGTTTTAACGGGAAGCAGAATCATGTATTCACTCAGGCTGTCATGACAGAAGACACTGCAATTTCACTTTTGAAGATTTTACATTGTATTGTCAACTGTTTATACCATTCTAAAATCAGCCAAAGAAGAACCTAAAGAATGATTTCTGGTGGAGATACAACCTAGTTTGAAGTGGGAAGATACATGTGAATGTGAACTGACATAATGGTTCAATCTTTGGGAATTATCTTCACATTATGACGACTTCTATTCCCTCTAAGATCATCTAACTTCAAATACACATACATACTCAGCTAAAGAGAACTCCTGCAGAAAACTAGCGTTGAAAGAAATACTGCACAACAAATGAAAAAAGCAATTAACTTGACTAAACAGAAAAATTCTTACTATGCAAAAAGGAGGCTAAAAGTCCAAGAATAACATGGGGGAACATCCGTGGCAACATGGAAAAGCATTAATTCCTTTTATATTAAAAAGTTTAAACTGACAAGAAAAAACAAATGTCTCCATAAAAACGGACAAAGCATAAGCTCAACTGACATAAGCTATACTAAGAATTCATGGAAGCATTAAATAAGCTTACGTTAAATAATAACTAAAGGAATGCAATTTAAGATGGCAATAAAGACCTTTTTTTGCATCCTGTAGTAGCACACATATACTGCTAGATGGTGTATAAATTATTATATTCATTCTAGAAATTTGGCAAAACATATCAAAATGACTTTTTTCTGATGGAAATTAAAAAAAAACCTTTATGTATAAAAATGTTTATGACAGTATCATAGAGAAAAGTTATAAACATATGTATACTATATACAATGTTTAAATAGATTCTATCACATTCATAGAGCAGTATACTACATAGTCATTAAAAATGGTATTTATAGGGCTGTTAAATAAACTTTTAAAATGAGAATACAATTTTATTCACACTGCTAGATGTACAAATAGAAAAATAATAGGACAATGACTATCTCTGAAGTGCTGGCAAAACTGATTTTGTTTTATACCTTCTAATAAAATTATCTTCCAAGAGTTAATATGAATTAAGTGACTAAAATAAAAATTAAAAAATGTTATCATAAAAGGTAACTATAAATTTATAATTTATAGAAATACAAGCACAAGAGAATTTAAAAGAACCTGTAATCTTATCATCTGCTTTTAGTATTTCTGAATATAGTCTACGCACAGATTCACAATGCTGTTAAAAAAAAATCCACTTAAGAAAACCTACTTTGTCATCCACTGAATTTTAAGATCTCGTAATGCCTCAGTAAACTCTTCTTTTAAATCTTTCTCTTTTTCTGACTCTTTTTCCTTATCTTTGCTGCCATTCTTCGTCTTTGTTGGTGGAGGTATTAAGTAGTAATGAACAGGGATTATATCCTATGAATGTAGAGAGAGATTCTTAGATTAATATGCTTAATTTTATAAATTTGAAGATTATCTTCTAGAGCTAAACATCATATAACATGAGCTGCACCTGAGTTGTACTACACTGTATTCCAGATCCTGAGGGTCCTAATATATCAATAATTTTATTCTGTGATCACAGCAATTTTCTCTCAAACTTGAGAGTACTGACTATTTATTTTTTTGAGTTGGAGTCTCACTCTGCCACCCAGGCTGGAGTGCAGTGGCACGCTCACGGCCACCACAGCCTCAACCTTCTGGGTTCAGGCAATTCTTCTGTCTCAGCCTTCCAAGTAGCTGGAACTATAGGCATGTGCCACCATGCCCAGCTAATATTGTTTTTTGATTTATCGTAGAGATGAGGTCTCGCCAAGTTGCCCAGGCTGGTCTCGAACCTGTGGGCTCAAGCAATCCTCTCACCTCGGCCTCCCAAAGTGCTGGAGAGTAATGACACTTTAAGTATCTCCTTTAAAATAAAAAGAGATAAGAACAAACTTTTCTCTAGTTGAGTATACTTGGTATTCTTAGCTCTACCTGACAAACTGATAACAAAAGTACACTGACCTTTCACATTTTAAATCCAAGAAGGGAAGGAAATCAGTTAAAGAAAAGTCCCTCTTTTCTAAGCACGTTTAAGGGGACATTAACTCCTTCATTCAATCAACAGGACTTGTTGAGCCCCAGTAATACGCTAGATAATGCGCTAACAGACGATGAACAGAGCAGATACTGACATATAATACAAAGAAAGTAGAAGAATAAAAGGATGGAAAGTGACTGTTAGGCAAGGTCAAGGAGCCAGTGTTCACAAAGTGGCTATGGAGAGCCACCCCGAAGAGGTAACATTTGATCCAAATGACCCTAAATGACAGGGAGAAGATGAGCGAGTGCAAAAACCTGAGCTTGGTAGATAGAGGACACGAACAAGCACATGTTCTGGGAAAGTGGGCAGCAGCTGGATTAAGTAGGGCTTGACAGAATATGATTTAAAAACATGATATTTTAAGTGCACTAAGGGTTTTATGCAAGGTATGATTCAAGATTTTTGTTTAATGACTCTGGATCCTGTATAGATGAACATTTTGGTTTAATAACTCTTGACACCATTTACAGAATGAAACAGAGAGAACCAAAGTGGAGGTAGAAAAACGAGTTTGAAAGTAAACCTAGGAAACCCTACACTGCCTTGGTACAGAACAGGCTGTAGAAATGAAGGGAATGAATAGATGTGAGACATTTTTGGAAGGCAGAACCAATGTGCTTGCTGACATTGTTGACAAATATGGTGGGGGGGATAGGCCCAGTTAGGGATGGAGAATGGAAAAAAGAGCAAAGTCTAGGACTTGGTCCAAAGCACTCTGTTATCCAGATGCTCTGTGAATGAGAAAGAAACCCAAAGGAATCTTGGATCATGAAAGCCTTGAGGAAAACCACTGTGAAGAAAAGAGGGCATGACCAATTGATAACTTAGCTGAGAGGTGGTGCCTGGAAGCAAGTAACTAGAAAACACAGCAGCACAGAGTCTGCTGATCACCTTGACAAAAGCAGTGGACATGGAGTCAAAGTCAATGAAGAAAGACCGGGAGAGAGAATGGGAAGTAAATAAGCCAATAATTTTTTTGAGACGTTTTGCTTTGAAGAGTGCAGTGAAATGGAGTGTAACTACATCTATCTTATTGGCATGTAAATCTTTATTTATGAAAAGTAAAGTATTGTCTGAGAAACAAAATCACATGCTATAACTACTAGATTGGTTTTTGGCACAATAACTGGGTGTACTTAATTAAGTCATTACTGTTTAAGTCATTTCTCAAATTCTATCTTTGGGCTTATATTTAAAATGCTGCTACATTAAAATATTATATTCATTTCCATTAACAAAGTTCCTAAAACAAATTACATTTAAAAAATTTTACTGCCCTAATCATAGTAATTTCAGAAAAGACTTCACACAGGTTGAGTCAAAAATAGCACTGTAGGTCCTTACCTCCCCCAAATTGGATGGATGAATATATATATACAATATATGTATAATATATACACACAGAAACACACACACACACACACACATATATATATATATATATACACACACACACACATATATATATATATATATATATATATATACACACACACACACACACATATATATTCCTATTTTAACAATTAAGCTCAATTTGGGGGTATAAGATGACATAATAATAGATATGAAGAATTACTGTTGTGGTTCTAACAGGATTGCAACACAAAACAATAACCACCATCTTTATCTGACTCATTAAAGCACCGAAAACACTTTGATGTGAAGTGACCATCTAAATCCACGTGTAGCTATCTGGTGCTACTCTCCCTCAGAGGTCAGGAGTGGGAGCCTCTTAAGAAAGGCCTCACGTGAGGCTGGAGAAAGGAAACAGGTCTACGGCTCAGGCTCGCGCTCTCAGGACTCACCTACCCTCCTTTCCTTTTCTTGAGGGTTACTCTCCGGGATGGGAACTGCCCTGAACAAAGCCAAGGTAAGTGTCTACAGAATCTGAGCTGATCACCTATCACCAAGGTCTTATGGAAACAGACTCTTCAGTGTCATCTGCCATAACACAGCTAACACTCTAAGATTCAAGGTCTAAGCGGCCTCCGATACTTACTTTCTGTCAATATAGCTCTATTCTTTTTAGAACCAAGCTTCTTTACCATCCAGTGTGCTAGAATGTGAGTGACACTTGCCTGGCAGTCTCCAGTCATTCTACCATCAGTGTGCTCTCACTTAGTTTCCCAGGCCTCCTCGCCCTATTAGGGAGAGATACTCCTAGGTAGGAAGGCTATGTGTTGTGAGGCAATTCCTCCTCTGAAACTCAGAGGCATTTGCTATTATTCTTTTAGTACAGAAGAGAGAAAACAGAGTTCAATTTAAATAAGCAATCCATTAAAATTAATTTATGAAAATAATTAACTCTAACAAAGACCTATAAAAAGAAATCATGTATCTTAGCAATCTTAAACTACCACTAAAAGCACAAAAGGGACAAGAAAAGTGTATGATGAATTATCTTAAAAAAAATCAATGTTTTGTACTTTACATATTAAATATATCAAATTATCAATTATAAATGTTAGAATAAGCCTATAAAATTTGTCAAGACAGGAATTTTTTATTATTAAAACTTACAAACCTGGTAGTTTTAATTTCTTATCTAAAGAAAAATAGCATTATTTTTCATTTACTTTATCATGGTCATTTTTTCTTTTTGCCAACAATTATTTCTACAACTCACTTCTCAAGAGCTTAACCTAGCATTAATTTCACAGAAATGATTTTATACCTTAAATCTTGAGAAATCTTGATTATGGGTTAAAAGGACAACACTCTAAGAGAATCATCTTAATTAGCAGAAATGCCAAGATGAGTTCTCTATAATTATAGACACTTAATGGTAAGTTTAGAAAAAATATCAACTCAGTTATTTACAAAGTACTGCAACAGTGTTCAAGCTGAACAATATTATTTAGAAAGTCAGACTCACCTGCCAAATCAGTAAGTACTCTTTGGGCAACATAACACCCAACATTTGAATTTTGCTTCAAAAACTGCAAATTCTTTAGTTACTAATTAAATTACTAATAACTGTAATTTCAAAATTTTAAAAGCTTTATACAAACTATTTTGAAGATTTAGATCAAGGGATGGAGGAGGGAGGGGCATGAGACAATGGAAGGGTATCTGGTCCACTACTAGGGGAGTGAGGGCCAGTTAGAAGCCCAAACTTCACTGCATATGGCCTACTTAAGAAATTAATCCTCACTTGTACCCCAAATCTCTATAATAAAATAAAATTTTAAAAAAGGCATAATAGAATAAAAAAGATTTAGATCATATATGAATGTTATTGTCTGTTAAAGTAATTATATTCTTTCACATTATAATAAACTTTAAAAAGGGTAATGCACTTATTCAAATCAAGGCACTAAAACCCAGAGAACAAGTCCATTAAGTATTACAAAATGTTATTTGGTATATACATCAACTGAAAATTGTATTTTATACATTTCTTTGTAAAGTGTTTATAAAACTCTAATATTGGTTATTTTTATAATAAGAGCTTTACTGTATACTTGCACTGAAGACAGGGAGGAACAATCAGAGGTAACTCTAGCTACCAAGTTCTTCATATGAAGCTTCACTAACCATCAAGTAACAAATTTCCTATTCATTTCATACTTTCCTTCCTCATACAACCTAATAAAAACAAAAGCCACAAAAACTCTCAAAAGGTCAAACAGAATATACAACAGCAGAAAAATAACTGGCTATAGCCTTTGTGATAAGCATCTTCTATGTTTAACAGCTTCCTAGAACACCTTTTCATTCTCTGAAGCAGTTGTTTTCAAATTATTTTCATGATGATCCCAAAATATACATATCAATACATAAAATGCAATTACAGTTTTATGTGTATAATGAACTGATACTTCCTATGTTTAAAAAAATGCTTGTTATAGTCTATTAAATAAATTTTCATGGTCCTCAAATGGGTCAAGACACCCAGTTGAGAAATACTGGTATTTGAGTCCTTTATCTGGAAAGATAATTCCTAGTAGAGTGCATCTTGTGTAAACAAATTCCCATTATGTAATAATACGGACATTTCAGAAGATGGTTTAATAAAGGAATCTTAACTATTATAAAACGATGATCCCCCGCCCTACTCCTAAAGCTATCTTTTGTTTATACCTTAAAACATTACTGATTCTCCCACTAACATACTTCCTGCTTAAAAATAAAAAAATCACTAAAATGCTGAATGTCAGCAGGTCTTTACTGGAGAAGTTGTCAAGTATGTGGTTCCTTTTTCTAAAACATATTTAAAGTAAAATCTTTCTTTTTTTGAATTAAATTTGGCTCTAGCAATAAATCAAAGACTGCAGGAAAGTTGATCACATCACTCAGTAGTTATAGTCCATTCTGTACTCTTAGCATAAGCTTTAATTTCCAATCAGCAGTCCTTATTTCTATTCCTGCTATGCTCATGACTTTTTTTGTCTCCACCTTTTCAGAACTAGGACAGACGCAAGAGCAGGGAATAAAGTTCACTTTAAAAAGCTAGAATAGTTATTAATCAAATCATCTAATTTAAAAATGCTTTTAGACTTTAAAAATAATTAGGTACTTTGGTTTACATGGCTAAAACTTACATTTATCTCTATAGAGTTTTAGATATGCAAAATTTTAAATATTGTTACTTGGTATCATATCTGTAGCAATAAATAAACAACATTAAATTTTTTCTATACACATAGAAAACGGGTCGTCAGGAATTTATGGTTGGGGGGAAAAAACTCTTAGAAAAGCAGTATGTCAACAATGCTTGTAGGCATAGCTGAGAACACTATACTGCAGAATATAAAGAAAGGAAACTAAGGAAGATATTTTTTAAAAAAAGATTTATAATAGTGACAGAAAAAAGTTTAATATGCAAATAAGGTTTTAAGACATCTTTTTTAAGAACTGACAATCAGTACCTTTTTAAATTTTCCTTGTCGTTTTGCTGCAGACTGCCCCTGGGAGTTAGAATGACATTCTGTAAGAAAACATGCATAATCTACACAGGATGGAGGCTCCACCTCTGTCTAATTTTCTTCCAGTTTACGTTCCACCTGTGTCACAGCACTTAGAAGGATGAGGTCTGTGATCAAGATGGCATGCTTTTAAAGAAAGCAACATCGCCACTTTCATTTTTAAAAATAAAAATGTGCTCAAATATGTTATCCCTAAGGGTAAATGTTTTTCAACTTATTTGAATAATTTAGTAAATCAAACTCCATTACTTATAAAAATATTTTTAAAAAATTACATTTAAATCTGATGATTTACAGAGTCTGACTTTAAAGGATGCCACAACAATCACACAGCCTATGCATTTTATATAAAAGCATCACTCAATGTTATTGTGAAAGTCAAAGTGAAGTAAAATTGCAGTTACTTTCCCACTATCAAAAAGAAGAAACACAAAACTACCAAGAGAAGACTAAATAAACACTGCAATGGCAATTATAATGAACTTAACAGCTTTAGGTTATTACTCTCTCCCAAGAAAGTCTATCTTGATTAACAGTAACTAGAGTTAATCCCACATAAATAATTTAATTATACAATTGCATCTGAAACAATACTGGCAGGAAGTAGTAACTATTTCTAAGTTACTAAAAGCATACTTTTACTAAAAATGTTTTGTTAGCCTCTTCACAAGGAAGTGGACTCTTAAAAAATTCATAGCTGAAGCCCCACCACTGAAGCAGCTGTGCCTCCCATGAGTAAAATCTACAAGAAGAACCACCATGATTTCTTAAATCAGTGCCTTAAATCGGTGCATGTATAAATTCCAATATCCTTAACTACTGAATTTACTTCAAATTATACTCCAGTATGTATGTGTAAACTGAAATGAGACCCAAGAAATGTCAGGAAAGGCAACTTTTTCGAAACACAATTCCCCAATTATGCTTCAATGATAGTAAATAAATGACCTTTGAGTCAATAGTGGCAATAACTAAATATAATTTTTGAGATATATGAGATCTCATTTTGATAATAGCATTTATAGATTCCAGCACTGTGTGTTAGACTTAATCTAGCTTTTTAAGAACTAATGCTATAGAGAAATATAAAACTACAAGAATGACAACTGGCATTAAGCTAAAATGATATTATGACAAAAGGTGATAGATCTATAATAAACACCCTTCTCATAATACATTTGTAATAAAACACAGAAACCCCCCCCCGTAACCTATAAAATTGTAACATTTATCTCTAAACGACAACAACCCAAAACAGGTTTCTAACAAAAGGCATAATTTTGAAACTAAAATAAAAGGCAATACCAAAAGAAGTATCTTATATCTTTTAACTATGCAAAATTCCAACAAGAGAAAAGTCAGAAGTGTGAAAAATACATTCCATAGTAAATAATTGTTCTGACTACTTTTTAGAAGCACCCAAGATAATCTGATTTATTCCTCTATCTATAATATATTGTTTAAAATTCTTTAACATGCTCTAATTTCAAACGTCCCATTTACTTAAACCAAGTTTGATCTGGATACATGTTTCACAGAACATTCATTTGTTATTAGCCACACAAAATAGGAAAGGCCAGGGCCCTAAAACTTTGGCTTGAGAAAAAGAACCCTAAATACATTTTTTAAATAGGGCACATTTTAAAAGACAATTAAAGATTACTTCACTAGTAACTTGGGAAAAAACTATGAAAATTTTTTCCCCGGAGATAGTTTCTCTTTTATTCATTTTAAATAAAATTAATTCCCATCTTAAAGAATACAAATTCTGGAAGAGGTAATTTCAGTGTAAAAAAACTAATACTTACAGCTTTCTTTCCTAGTTCAGTCTTTGACAGCGTTAAGGATCCTGCAAGGTAGCATCCAGGTCCTGCCCCCTTAGGTATTCTAATAAGAGAATTCAAAGAGAAAAAAAGTAACAAAAAGTTTCGCAAAGATAATTAAAAGGAAAACATCAAAACAATTCCATACTGAATTAATTCCCATGGCTAAGATTTCAAAAACCAAGGAGACATAATCTCTGTCTAAAATGATACAGGACAACACACTATAAATTTAGCCTAATGTAATAAACTTACATTAAAAGGACTTCAGTGTATAAGACGAGCATTAAGTATAAGCAATGCTATCACTTACTTATCGTCTGGTAAGGAAGTAACAAAAAACGGCTGATTATATTTGGGTGGTAATGTCAAATTGCTCGATTTCTTCTTTCCTAGAAGTGCAAAACTATGATTTTCATGAATATCTAAACTCAAGGTATTAGACAATCTATGAGAAACAATAAATGGAAGATCTTTAAGACGTTCCAAATCACTGATTTGCTCATGGCGAATCTGTAGTCGAATTGTATAATCTCCTTTCTCCAGCTTCAAAGAATACTAAAAAACAAAACAAAACAAAAATACAACATTAGGGAAAAGTAAGTTGAACCAAGTCAACTGAAATCACAGTAATAGGATAAACTGAAAGAGCTACCATTTACAGACTATAATATGTGAGGTACAGTGCAAGTTACTATACAGACCTTTATATGAAGTCCCTAGAATCCAATAAGTGCTCAATACAGAACTGCTCAATAAGGAAGTCAATTTAAAAGGACTAATAAACCGAAGACACATGGCCATTATTGCAGTGATCTCTTTATTCCATTCAGACCTGGGATCATTTGAAGATAGATGCTCATATGTCTCTGGTGATTTGCTCTCCTCTACCTTCAGATAAGTGGAGGCAGTATGTTGGAAGGAAAAACACCATAAACAAATAGCTACGCTGGCCAATGTCTGCAAGGGTCATCCTTGTTTTCTTTTCCCTAAAACATGGTTCAGAACAACTACACAGCGGAGAGGTTGTCAAAATCTGTTCCTGAACAACTACAATAAACAACAGATCTTCTCATGGTTTGCAAAAGTACTAAATGCAAAACTCTGGTGTTTAAAAAATATCTTTATTACAATAACAAGAAATAGGTTTTATTAGTTCAGGAAACATAGAAGTAATTATGCTAGTTCTAAAAATCACCACCAATCTTATACCTGATGTGGATAGGCATCGCCCGAACCCATCTGTCTTTTGTTCTGGTCAAAAATAATCCACAGTTGGCTGTCAAATTCTGATTCATATAATAATTCACAAAGTAGTGGGCAGCTTGGAGTTACTTCCCCACTCTTGGGCTACAAACAAATAAGAATGATTACTTGACACGGTTTAGTTATGATTTCAGCTTTTTAATATTGTTATTGACATGAGACTTTTCATTTAAAAAAGATATTAAAAATATTTTCTTGTGATACAAAATTTTGCAACATCTAGTATTTTGGCACTGATAAAAGGTACTTCTCTGTTACAGACTTTAAAAAATACAAACTCTGCTACCTGTATTCATTAAAGAAGAACTATACATTCCTCAAGACCTCTAATTACTTCATAAAATTGAAATGTGACAATTCACTCAATTCAATCATTTCCCTGACATTGAGAACAAATTTATACTGCGTTTCAATTTTTTAATTGAAATCTCATTCATCTCACAAAAACGCTTTTACAGGGGCCTCAATTACTTTTACCACTCACCCCACCCGGGAGCTATTCTGATTTTTCCCTGTTCTCAAGACTGCTACACAGAAAATAAACAGGCCCAGTACCATGATCAGAGGCAGGAAGTATTGTTGAGACAACTGCCCCTTGGTCAGAGGGCACCACTGGGCAGGGATCAGTGATTTTACAAACTAAGGTTCAAGACCAGGTCACCATGGAATTACACTTTTCAACTTCACAACTGAATGATACTTAAATAATTACAAGTTATAATTTCCTAAAGAGTAATTCCAAATTAGCCAATGTTAATTACTTGATTGTTTCATATATATACCATTTATACTGTTCTTCCATTTTTGATTTTATGAATCATAAACAAAACACAACAGTTTACCACAAGGGTATACTTTATTAGGCAAACACTTACTTGATGAAAGTTGTATGTCAGGACCATCTCATAAAGTTGACGGTTATTTGGCAAAATATCTCTTGATCCTAAAGGTTTTGTTTTTGCACCCACTGGGCTGTAATGAGAGAATTACAAAACTGACTTGAATCAAGAGTTTACTGAATGAGACAAAAGTATAAGCAGAAAAATCTGTAACATATTATACAAAAAGTGAGAGATGAACATTCCTGGAAACTATCCTTTTCAGTATACTTGATTGTACTTCAATCATGAACTTATATATTTATTGACTGAAGCACAGACATACATAGTTAACTTCTGTAGTAAATACCACAAAGGTAATCTTTTCAAGATAAAAACATTTTAAGATATCAAGAGATAGCTCTTAACACAACCAAAGCCCAACACTAGGGTGACAATCACGAACACTGTTGAAAAACAGGTTTTTGAAGTGTCCCCTCCTGGCTACATGGCTGACAATACCGTGAGTGCACTGCATGGGCTCACCCCACAAGGGCCAAGCTCAGCCCTCATCCTGACTGAGGGAATGACACTTAATCTTTCTAGTAGTTCTCTGAAGCAAGTTACTGAGGTACAGATTTTAAAAAGAACACTGAGATAATAAGTTTTAAGTATAGTTATTAAAAAGGTCAGCTGAACTTGATAACCTACTCCCTTAGATCCAATTTGTGAACTTTAAGGGGAAACTATTAGGATGATTCAAACTGGGTATGTCTTCAAAAGTTGGATGTTTTAATTTTTATTGATAATTCTAGAAGTATATCTTTAGACATTACGCGTCACTGACTTCTATCCCTAATTGGTTATCTTAACGAACTTATTACTAGGCTTCAGGCTGACATGAGGTCAGGTTAACAAGAAAATCCAGGTATCTTTATAACATAGTAGGTATGTGAACATGGGTCAAGACGCCCTATTATAGGAAAAGTTACTGAGGTACAAACAGCAAACCATAGTACTTAAGTTTCTACCATTCAGTGAAACTTTGTAGTATCACAATTTCATAAAATGAGTAAGAATTCACAAAATAGTATCAGAGAAAATCTTAACTTGTTATTTTATGGCAAGACATAATAAGGTTAGCATCCACTGATCCTACTAGCCATGAACGGGATTCACCTATCCACAACCCTTCCCCTTGCCGGTCAGGTGGGACCAAGAGGCTAGAAGTTGCTACTGGGGCTGCCTCTCGGAGATCTGGAAGGGTAGCAGTCTCATCTCCAGTATTCAGATGGATTAACAAAAAAGACTCTCCAAAAAAAATTAAGAGAGCCTCTCTCCGTCTATACTGAATACATGTATCCCCTGCAACACTGAACGATACCGTAGTGTTTGGACCCAGTTCTTCAAAGTTATGCAGGGAGCCAGGTCTTCGTATTTCAAGGAGGACTGAACATCAAAACGGTTGATTCCTTCTGATGCATGCTACAAATGACATTTATCAAATTACTTTCTCAAACTTTACCAAAAATAAGCAATATTTTGTAGATAAGATAAATGTGGCTAATATAAAGTTTATGAGCACCCATGAACAAAGACGATTGTTATGTTCAGAGCCACAGGCAATTTCCCCATTAAAGTTTAAATCTAATCAATTAAATTACTTGTCAATAACAAAAATAACTGACATTAAAAATAGTGAAAATGTTATGGAACTTACAATGTTTAACTGAGGAGCAGTACATACTATCCCATGGAAAGAAATGGTATAATCAATATTAACATCACTAAGACTTGCCCACCAACGAGCAATGCAAAATTCAATTGCTTTCCCACCCTGCAAATAAAAATACGATTAAATTATAAAATTCACATCTCTTTAATTTTTCCTCAGATTAAAAAATATAAATACTAGCAATTTCAGAGCAATTGTATGTCTTAAAATTTTTGCTATTTGTAGCAAGAAAACTCCAAAAAACTTTTATTAGTTATGGTGAGTTAGACAAATCATAGCTGTACAGATAGGGTTAAGTATACAGTTGTTTATTCATAATCCTGTATTTCTTGTCGTAAAAGAGTCAAAGAAGCTTTTGAAAGCACATATAATAAAGTAATCATGGGGAAAAAAGTGAGATAAGAAATCAGGACCAAAAGAAAGAGAATCAAGAATAATGACCAGAGAAAGGATGTTACAACTTTGAAAGGCATTTTTCAATAGCCACTGCTGAGTTTTGGGCTCAGACCTGCCTGGCAATGAAAACAAAACAAAATTATAGTCACTTACATCTTTCTTCTTATTAAAAAATAAAAATAGGTCAGGTGCGGTGGCTCACACCTATAATGCCAGCACTTGGGAGGCAGAAGCGAGAGGATTTCCTGAGCCCAAAGGTTCAAGACCAGCCTGGGCAACTTGGCGAGCCCGCATCTCTACAAGAAATCAAAAAATTAGCCAGGAGTGGTGACATGCACCTGTAGTTCCAGTTACTTGGAAGGCAGGCTGAGGTGGAAGGATTGCCTGAGCCCAGCAGGTATAGGCTGCAGTGGCTGTTAGCATGTCACTGCACTCCAGCCTGGGTGACAGAGTGAGACTCCAACTCAAAAAAAAATAATACAAATAAGAAAAGAAAGAAAAATTGTTCTTAGCACTGACACTTAAGTATTCCAGTAATCAGTGAATTAATAAGTTTAAAAAGATGAATTATGTAACACTGATCCATAGAAGAATACACATGAAAGTAACCAGAAACATGAGCAACACAGGAACAATCATACAACCAACTGAAAACACAAAGCAACTTACGAAAGAACATTGCATTCACCTTTTATGGAAGAAAAACTAGACATAATTTCTAACACTATAGGTAAGAATGAAGATCTTTCTACTTCTTTCTATGACATTAACAAAATCTACAGTTCCAATGTGCTCTCAATACAAACTGTAAAACAAAATTCAAATACTTAGACTTAGTCCATACTGAAAAAGAAAAGCAATTGTTTTAGGATTTCAAGCTAAGCTAAACTTACCAAGACAGGAAAAGCTTCAGTCAGCGTTCCTTTTTCTGGAAGGGAACAAAACTTATAGAATTCATGACTTCGATATGCTCTTTGCTTCACAAGCTGTACCGCATGAAGCACAAACTTTGCGGACACTTCCGCAGAACATGAACATACCGTAACTTCTAAAATAAGAAGGAAAGAAGCAAAGTTTTAAACTAGTAAGATTTAAAATGGACATAAAGTGGTTTTTATAATGTCTACTTGTTCAGGGAATAATACATCAAAAATAAAATAATATACTCAAATAAAATCTCATATTAAAAACAAAGAACCAAAAAGATTAATAAAGCTGCAAAGATAGAAGATTTTCAATGGGAAATAATAAATGGCTATTTAAACAAACACCAGGTTGCAAGCACCATCAGGAAATTTCAAGCTGTCCATAGATGCAAATATAATTTTCCTAATCAGTTACCTTTAAAAATCCCTGCCTTCTTGTTTTAGCTGAAAACTCATCAATTCCTGATAAAGGTTATAATTTTGAAAATCTTGATTTCTTTTTTCCATGTCCCAATTCCATTAGTATCTATTCATTCAACATCACTGATAACTTTTCTAGTCTCTTCCTATTGGTCTACCTGAGTCCTGCTTGCTTCTAGAAAGCATGACCATTAGATCAACACATGCTTAGCTTTACTCTGGGGCACAGCTGGAGGTAAGCCAAAATTACTGTGATGCAAGACCAGCAGCTTATCTGAAGAATACCCCTTGGAATTCAAGGGAATTGAAGCAAGGCTCAATCTGTTTCACAAAGTCAAGTGGGCACAGAGCTCTCAGTACGTAGTCAGTTGCTAAGAACACAAAATCTAGAGTTATGACAATATGTCTAATTATTTGAAATTAAAAAAAACTATGGATTTCTAATACAATATTATTAAATGATTTAAGCTACCTCCATTCTAGATCATTTGATAATTTTTATTGAAAAAACTAATTATTTTCAATACCAACCTAAACAAACCATAATTAGGGCATTATACTTACTGACATTTACCACTAAACAAACAATTCAACTCAGTATTGATTAACCATAGACTTTTATTCTTTAACCTTACTAGTGCACATTTTACCAGAACCTTGAGCTGTACCACTCCAGGGGGCCCTATGTAAATGTACCCCAGAGTTGTTCAGCAGCATCTCTGACTCCACTTCCCAGAAAAATAGTCAAGTGTATGAATGCAATCCCAACATGGACAAGTTATGTACCAAGTACTTTATAAAAGCTCTAATCCTTACAAAAGACTATAAGCAGTACTTATAGCTGAAACAGAAGTTCAGGTAATTAAAAAAGCTACCCCAAGGTTGCCATTAGTGTATGGCAGAGAGCCTATGGCTTTCCATTCTAACCCAGGGTCTCCTAACTGCAAAGTAACTTAAGGGATTTAGACTAGGCGTTCCTAAGGCATCTCCTAGGAAAAAGGCCTCTGGAAGCAGGGTCCTTTGCTGATAAGCTCACCACCTTAGCCCTGTAAAAAGGGCCTGGCACACAGATGATACAGAAAAAAATGTTTAATAAGTGAGTCTAGTCCAACTCCTGACAGTCCAACTAGGCTATCAATGTTGCAATAGGTCCTCTGTTACTCAGTATGCAAATTAACAGCTATATTGGACCCTGCTCCATTTGCTGCTTTTGCTCCCAGCTTTTGCTATTTATTATTTTGCCTCACTAGTTATATAAAACAAGAAAAGCCTTGCATTTTCTGTGATACTGAGTGACAGACAGATGGACTATGTACACAGAAGACGGTATGGGGAATCAAAGACAACCAGCTCTTCCCAAACTAAGTCTAATATGTGTGATTTTATTACTTCATTTCTAATAAACTCTCAACTGTCAATACATCTATGCTTTCCCATAAGTATAAAAAATATATTCCTAAGCCAAATATAAACCATTTACAAATGATACCTATCTACTTTATAGGGTTCTGATGGGACTAGATGTGATAAACTCTGTAAAGTACCCAGTAGAGGGCCCAAGTCCAAAAAGTATTAATAATGCTGGTTACTAATTAATACTGAGTGACACTTTCTTGTTTGTCCACATTTGTTTCCTTCCATCAATATGAGTGAGCTCTGACCATTTACATTCCCCATCTCCCATACTGATTGCTGAATTATATATTTAGGATATATAACTTGAGAAGGAAAGCATGGTATAACCACAGCCCTTGTATTAAAGAATGACATAATTACTTTCATAATCTATAACATATAATAGCATATAACATATAATATATAATAGCATTGTTTAAGGCAATCATTTACCCTCATAATTTCAGAGACATTCAAGTGAAAATCTTTTATAAACTTACAATTTGATCATAGAGCTTCAAATAAAGGCTCTATTTCTAAAATTCTAAAAGTTTACCAGTTTGAGGTTTAAGCCACAACTACATTGTTCAAACTGATTTTTAGGTTGTTTTTTTTAATTGATAAGACATTTAGTAAGCTGAAGCTTTAAATATTAAAAAATCTTAAGATGGCCTTGATAATTTATTGTATTAGTCAATGCAAAATTATACTAGATCTTAAAAAAGTTTTGACCCTAACAGCAAATCTAAGGTGCCAAATATGTATAGTATTATTATGAGAAAAGTATGTTACAGATAAATGAACTCAATGTAGTCAGTTGTTGCAAAGATAGAATATACACTGAAATAAGTGATCACGATAGACTTCAGTTTTACCTACCCGCCCATGTTGCACCCTCAGGAACCTCAATAAAATGCCTTCGAATTTGACCAGGTTTAAAGTGTATGTCTGTAAAGGCTAGATCATAATGTGATGATTCATTTACTCTGAAATCAATAAAAATAAATTATTAAACACAATACTCTTGTAAAACAGCTTTATATTTATAATAAGCCTACTGGTACTCCAGACTTTATTGAATAAATGCAAAAGAATAGTTCATTAGTAATAAACATGGACTTTAGAACTAGTTACAAAACAGTATGCACAATGTTATCCAATTTTTGCAACATGCCAGCAGAGAAAAACCTTTGGATCGCAGACTACAGATGATCCTACCTTTTACTTATCTGTTTTATAATTTTTAAGATACATAACAAAAAAAATCTTTTTTTGTTAAAGAAAATCTAGAACATTCACAGGATTGCCCAATTAGCAAGTTCTAAACTACAGTGAGTCTTAGATATTAAAATTAAAGTTAATTTTGGGGTCTTATAGCTGCGAGACAGGTATTGAATTAGGCCTCCTTTGTTGCCAAAATTCTCCCATGCTGTCAAATAGTAAAGAAGAAAGGCAAACTACTTTCAAAGCATTTTTGTACGAAATCGATGAAACAAGGTTCGAATGTATAATCACTCGCTAAAGAAACATAAAGTATATGCTAGAGATACATTCGTGTCAGTATGACAAACATTTAATGAGTGCTTACTATATATGAGGCATTGTTATTAGGAGGAAGAAATGTAACAGGGAAGAAAATGAGATTTTTGGACCCAATCTAGTGGGGAGAGAAAAACCATCAGTTTTAACATAAGATGTTCCAGGTAGACAGGAAGTGTTAGAGGAAAACAGATGAAGAGTACTTGGTTCACTCAAAGGGAGCCTGGGAGAGCTTCCTGAAGGAGAAAATGTGTCAACTGATTTCTGAAGGTCTTATCTATTACCTTGTCTAAATTCCTTCTGGTCTTTTAGAAAACATATGGCTGAGAATTTAACTGTTGTGCAATTTTTCCATGTGTACCCACTTTTTAAGTTTTATCTCCTCAATTTCATCCTATGTTTCTCATGGGCTGAGACCTGTTACATATTTAATATTTACCCGAGTAATTATCTCATTAGAAATTGTCAATTTAGAACTTTCATTTGTTTCCAGAGCTCTCAAAAATTCCATTCTCATCTTTCATCCACAACACAATATGTTTTGTGCACACTGTGTAACAGGCTCCATATAGACAGGAGTAAGATGTGGTCAATGTCTCGGCTCAAAGTCAAATGGCATAAATTAAGTAAAAGACATTAGAACATATTGGCTCAAGTCTGTCTAGGGGCACATAAAAAGTGCCATGAAGCAGAAAGAAGAAACTACCCTCACCGGAATGTACCTGGTCATTAAATTAAGAGAAAGGCAACTGAAGCCAAGGAATCAGGTGTGCAAATGCACAAATTCTGAGGAAACCTGAAGGGTCAGTGAGTTGGTCAAAGTGTGTAATCTGGTGTATGGAATGACAGTTAACACTGGCTAGGGCTATAATTGTGAGGCATCACTGTTTGCTATTTTAAGGAGCTTGAACTTGATCCTTGGAAGTGCCACTGATATATTTTAAACAGGAAGTAATATGATCAGATTTGAGTTCCCTGATTCCAGAGTGGATAAGATGAATAGATAGTTGATGACTAGAAAAGTGGGAGAATAAGGAGAAAACAGTGAATTCCAGACACAAGGGGGAACAAAAAGAACCAAGTGGGAAGGAATAAAATAATACTGTTAAATACCGCAGAGGGATCAGGTAAGATCAGGCTGAGATATCTTCTCATGATGTGTCTCTCATTGACCTGGGAAGTACAGAGGTCATCAGCAGACCTGTTGGAAGCAGTTTCCCTGAGAGGCAGGGCAGGTGCCAGAAGCCATTGGTTACTCTCAGTTAAGAAGGAAGAGCATGGCTGACTACATAAAACCTAAAAATACTAGCTAGAAGCAGAACTAAGACTAAATCATGGTTATTTGATACTGGACTACCAATCCTTTGAAAGTCTACATCACTTCATTAACAGCCATTAAAAATGTAGATGTGACAGCAAGCTGTAAATAACCTGTTACTTACTTTGCTGCTATAACGGCAGTAATGGGAACTCTGAACAGAGGACCTGCATTAGGGGATGCTATGTCATAGCCGCATACCTTGAAGAAAGAATGGTAAGTTTCAATATCCATAAACAGACTTCTAAAAGAGGGGAAAGTATAATTTACTCACAGAATAAACTGATCTAATATTAAAATTTAAAAATCCTAAGCCACAAGTTTACACCAATTTCCTGACACTAGGTCACATAATTAATATCAAACAGCCCAAACAAATAAATGTATAACAATCTTAGACTAATTCAAACTAGTGGAGAAATGACACATCAAGTAACAAAACAAAGAACACAAAACAATGCATTTTAATTACTCTCAACTGAAAATTAGCTCAAACTTGTATTGTGGCCAACTTTAGAGGGAGAGATACTGTTCAATGATACTACTGATTGATACTATTCAGTGCTTACTGTCTAAACAGATGCTTTCTTCATCTGAGTATCCAAAGGTACCTGCAGCCAGATGAGACTGACCAAAGGACCAGCAAGAGGGAGAGCTAGCTGAAAAGGTTCTGCTGGACTGCTTCTTTTCCTTTTACTTAAAAGCTTCACACCAGTGCACAATATGATGCTCTTAAACTATCCCACTGCTTAAATTAGGATACAGATACACCAGGAAAGCTGTAAAATGTGCCAAGTAAAAAGGTCTAGTTGTTTCTTATCAAGAAGGCAACACACTGCAAATACACTTAAGGTTTATTTCTACCTATTTAAACATGTTAAGGAGCAAACACAGTAAAAATGAAGATATGCTGATACCTCTGTATAATGCAATCCTTCTCTTAAGCCCCTGGGATCCACACGTATGTTTATGTGTCTACATTGATTCATCAGTTCCAAATGGCTGGGACACTGAACCCAAGATGAATTAGAAGTTAAAGCTAAATGAAGCTGAAGGGATATTTTTTCAGAGTTTTCTGGCATCAAAAAATAAAAATAAAAAATTAGTATTCTCTTTTTGTTCATTTAAAAAAGTTCTACCTTCTCTAAAAAAAACTTAGCAACTTAAGTTGGTCAATTGTAAAATACATCCAAAACACAGGCACCCAAAAAAATACAGCTTAAATAAAAGTCACATAATCTTTACATTTTAGTATATTCCTGACCCATTCATACTTTCACCAAACACTGTCATGATCTAAAATGAGGCGCTTTAGTGAACATTTTTCATAACTAGATACAGGTAACAGCATTAGACCGAAATGAAGACTGCTAGATATACAGTGATGACTATTTTTGTTTATATCTAACTGAGCTGCAGTTACATTTTTTCTGGGTACTTCTACTTTCCATTCTCCAACTAAAAGGCTCTGCCTTATCCCAAATGGTTAAGGTGGGAAAGAAAAAAAAAAAAAATCGAATGTTTTATTACCCACAGCTTTATAAAACTATGGGTCACTGGAGGCTCATTCTACTGTTTTCTTCAGTAGTGAAAATGCTAACTACACTGCCATTTACTTGACCCTGAATTGCGCTAATATTTACACTGCCATTTACTAAGACCCCGAATTGCACTCATATTTTCCCTTATGTCTACAAGATGTAAATATATTGTCACTTTATTCTTTCTCTTTAGAACATTGGCCCAAACAGCATTATCTATTATGATATTGCTCATTCAAACCACCAATGTAAACATTTCAGCTTACTGCCAGCCTATTACTGACCTGTGTTCTCTGGAAATACAGGTTCAATGCCAACGCCATGATCTGAAGGTGCAGTCACCTGAACAGGATCTCGGAGGTAGATGCCACGGTTATTTCCAACAGTAACAGTGAAACCTAATCTATTAGCAAATGATGTATTCTGAACGAGGTAGTCATAGGCTTTATCAACCTAAAGAAAATAACATAAGTAGTAAAACAATATAAATGGTTGTGTCAAAGAACTATTTTGTTGCAAATCACCAATTTGATTTCAGTTGTTGCAAAGTACACTTTCTATGTTCACTTCTCTAAACTAGCCACTACCCCAACTAAGAGGACAATTCTACATTTCTAGACACAGTTCCAGTCAAATTTTCCACTCCACTCTTTATTTATATTGCTATTCTCAAGAGACCAAAATTAAGAACTAAACCCTATGCCATTATGAATGGCCAGTTTTTGACCCCTCCGCCTCTTTGCTCTGAATTTCCAACCTCTACAGGGTCTCTATTATATTTCTCTTAGTGCAACAAATTGGTCTTAACTATAAAATTTGTTTTTACATCCTTTTTGCTTATAGTTCTATAGTTCTTTTTGCTTATAGTTCCACATAATTTAGGATTTAGACATAAAGAAACACTAGTATAATAAGAAATATCCAGTAATATCTAAGATATAGCTTAGTGATGCTTTACAACCCATCTTTCATACAAGTTTCAATACCTGGATAATGCCATGTCCTTGGGCAAATACTTCTATGTTGTCAGCCTTCACTGCAGTGTTTTCTAGAGCTCTTCTGACTGAATGAACTGTGTAATCAACACTATTAGCTTTCAGACCTAAAATTCAAAAACAAAAACAAGAAAAGTTGTGTCAGAGAACTCACTATTTGAAACCTCAGCCCCCCACCAGTAAGTGCTATCTCTAGACTTTCTAGTTTTAACATCTTGTGTTTTAACATGAACTAAACAGTCTGACTTAAACTGCCTGTATCATGTGAAGACTTCATTCCACAAAAATCATGTGCTCATTGTGCAGTGGTATTAATGCAGGTAATACAGAGGTAATGTAAATGTACGAAGCATGCACCTAAAGACATCTGAATAACATTTTCTTTAAAACACTGCTGGGTCAAATATGGGTGTTGGTGATAGTTTTCAACCTGGCTGTAAGTTATAAACACCAGGGTAACTTAAGCAAAAAAGATGCTGTGGTTGCACCACAGACCAATTAAATCAGAATCTTAGAGGACTGGATCCCAGGAATAGCTGTTGATTAAAAGTTTTCTAGATGATTCTAGGGTGAAGTCAGGCTGGGAACCACTGTTCTATGGTAAGAACTTTGAGGCCACCAACTTGTATGCCTTGTATTTTTGACTGTTGATAGAGATGACAGAGGAGTGCTATTATCAGTCGTGTCTTCTCCAGAATTCATCAAATGTAAACACTTTTGTCAGTGAGAATCCAGAAAAGGTAATGCTCTACCAAAAGAAATGACAGATTAGCTGGGCCTTACAGAACATATAGGAGGAGCCTGCAAGGCTGAACCACGGTAGAAAGGACTTCTAGGCAGAAAGCAACACATTCAAAGATTGAGGTCACAAGACCTTGACATATTTGGTGAGGTTGACTAGGACTAGAAATGAGGTAGCGCCATGACAGGATCCATCCTAAGAATTTGGACTCAACCTAGAAACTGATGTGGTCCCAGGAGAGGTTTTAAAATGCGTGGTATACAATTACTGACTTGTTTGGTAGCTCTCTAGCACCAGTCTGGATGGACTAGGTTGGAGAGACATGGTGGTCAGAGAAGACACCAGTGAGCCTTAGAAAAGGGGTGAATGAAGAAGGCAAGAGAGAGATGACTTGAAGAGGGACATTTCTGAGGTAGGGGTGTCACAGCAGCCTGGCTACCCTAACTTCAAGTCCTCGTTGACACCCTAACTGTTACAGCACACCACCCTAGAAATTCCTACCTCGTTTTACTCCACAGCATTCACCAACTTCTAACACGTTTAACATAAACAGTTTATTTTGCTCAAAGTCTGTCTCCCCTGACTATGATATAAACTCCATGTGAGCAGAAGATGTTAGCCCCAGAGCTAAAATATTGCTTGATAGTCATTAGCAGCAAACACCAGTATATTGTTGAATGAATAAATACACATTCAAATTATCATTATAATATAAATTATTCTCTACCTTAAACTTTACTTTGTACCCAGGCCATTACCAATTCTACCACATCTTTACCATGAGAAATTCAGAAACAAAAATACTGGCATGCAGTAAGTTAAGAGAGTAATAAGCAACGTCTTTACCTGAAAGTACCAGGGCAATACCTCCACAGGCATTAGGGGAGGACATAGACGTCCCATTCATGAGCTGAGTCCCCCTCAACGTCCAGTTAGGAACAGAAGCAATGGCTCCTCCGGGCGCACTGATGCTCACACCAAGGGCCCCATCAGCACTAAACACAAAGCCATTGAAGTCTGCTTACGATGGTGCAAGTTGGACATACCTGGTCATTCTTACAAAGGCCACTAGTCAAATCAACTACAGTATAATACTATGGACTATTTACACTCATTACAAATAATGACAAAGATATTACTATGAAGAATCAATGGAGAAAAAAATATCCAGCCTAGCCATTTCCCCATATGCAATATTTAGTTTTTCCTTATAAGTGTACAGAAATCTCTCTCTCTCTCTCTCTCTCTGTGTGTGTGTGTGTATCTGGGCTTGTGTTTCACGGGGGAAAGGTGTCAGGTATATTTACAGAAAGAAAATAAGTGAACATCATTGTTCAGACTCCTCAATGATGTACTTCTCTCTTATCTGTAATAAGGAGGTTTCTCCTTAGTTTAAAGTCTAATATAGCACTGTCAACAGAAATATAATGTAGGCCACAGGTGTAGTTTTAAATTTTCTATAAGCCACATTTTTAAAAGCCAATGAGAAAGTAATGAAATTTTAATAATATATTTTACATAACTAGACATATCTAAAATATTATCATTTCAACATGTAACTGATAGATAAAAATAAAAATTAGTTATCAGGGGAAGGGGGCACACCTCATCAACAAGGGTAGCTACCTAATGAACATTTGTATACCTAACTGTGAACTGTACCCCACATATTTAAAATAAAAATAATAAAAATTAGTTTACATTATTTTTCTGTACTAAGGCTTCAATACCCAGCACATCACAGCACATATTCAATATTCAAAGCACATCTCAATTGAGACTAACCTCATGTGACTGGCTGTCCAACTGGACAGTTCAAGTCTAACAGAACTGCCTAGTTAAGGGCTACAGCTAAGCACAGTCTAATGAGTTAGAGCCTTTAGAGTTCATATCACATTATCATCTGACACAAGCTCTGTTCGCTGTTCCAAGTAAAGAAATAGTGGCACACAACTTGCTCTTCCTTGGTAAAGTGGCCATAAAGTACCCTCCAGATGCCTGAGCCCGTGGGTTTGAGACCTGCCTGAGCAACTTGGCGATAACTCATCTCTACAATAAATCAAAAGTTAGCCAGGCGTGGTAGCGCGCGCCTGTAGTTCCAGCTACTTGGAAGGCTGAGGTGGAAGGATTGCCAGAGCCCAGCAGGTCAAGGCTGCAGTGGCTGGGAGCGGCTACTGCACTCCATTCTGGGTGACAGAGTGAGACTCCAACTCCAAAAAAAAAAGAAAAAGTCCCCCCAGAGGACTAACCTCACCCTCTAACATTCTTCCCCCAATGGAACAAACTATTCTTATTGCTGTCTGGGAACACTAGGGCAATCTGGTTTCATATTTTTACAAAGAACTGAGAACACTGCACATATCCTCCTCCAGAAGTGGGTTCGTGGCACCCGTTTTAGTGAATACCTTAGAATCAACACACTAGCTAAATATATGATGACCTGTAAAAATATTAGCACTATAGTCCCGAGTGACAAAAGTGCCTGACTAGTGCAATCTCCCTTTGATACACAGGGGATTGGCTAAAAGGATGTTTATCAGAAAGTCATCTGCACATATCACAGGCAACAAGACTTAGGGTGATTTTCACTTTATTGTTCGCTCTGCCTATACTGCCTAGTGATGTTCACAATGAGTATTCAGTATTTTATAATTTTTAATTTTAATTTTTTTATAATTTAATTTTTTTTTTTGAGTTGGAGTCTCACTCTGTCACCCAGACTGGAGTGCAGTGGCTATTCCCAGGCACCTCAGCCTCGACCTGCTGGGCTCCGGTGATCCTTCTGCCTCAGCCTTCCAAGTAGCCGAATTACAGGCATGCGCTACCACGCCTGGCTGATTTTTTGATTTATTGTAGAGATGAGGTCTCGCTGCCAAGTGGGTCTCAAACCCGCGGGCTCAGGCAATCCACTCACCTCAGCCTCCCAAAGGCGGAGGATTACGTGCTGAGCCACTGAGCCTGGCTAATTTAATATTTTATAACTTATTGAAAAAATTAGCTGGGAAGAGCCATGAATTTTGAGTACTTTATATTTTTCTTTATTAATTTTCCACTAGCCTGTTAAAGTGGCAAGTCGTAACACGTTTGTAGGTGTTTAAATCAGTATCCTAAAAATGAGCTTAATGAAACATAAATGTTTCCTTAAAATTTAAAAATAGCCATTGACATTTTTCTTCTAAATTACAATATATAATGCAAATTTGTAACCTGCTTATGTAGACATTATTTGGTAAAACATCTTTAAGAAATATGCCACACTTACAAACACCAGGAAGCTAGTAGATGCTATATGTCTGACAGTCAATGCTGATGCAGGGCAGTGTTTTTCAAAGAGTATAGAACATACTCCTTTCAGTGATTAGTCAGTAACAATCATTATTAAGTTAATAATTAAATCTAATAATTATATATTTGCAATATTTTAAGTTTATTATATCGTAAACATGAATCAAGTAAGTGTATGCAATTCTTAGAACATTTGGTTTGTGAATCAGTATCTATTTTAACCCAAGCTCCCCCATAATTCATGAACTCCTTGGTGCTTTCTTAAAATTATTCTTTAAATGTCTTATGACAAGTAAGATCGCAAAGGCTGATTTCAACATTCTCAAATATTTTGTTTTTACAGTGACTCTACGACAAAAACTAAAATTTCAAAATCAATTTTAGCAGAGAATTAACATGTTTAATAACTCAATATTTTTATTAACTGAACATAAAACACATAAACCTGTATTATCTTTTGACTTGTATCCTTAGTCACTCTTACTCAGTGATGTTAGTTGGGCTGATGAGGGCAGTCTATGGTGATGGTACAGGGCCAAGCTTTCTGATCCATTTGGAGATCCACAGATTGATTTTTATTCCTGGCATATAGAATTCCCTTCTTTTCTCTCTACATCCTATCCATCCTTCAAGGCCATCTCCTCCATGAAGGTTTCAAGTGATTGCTCCCACCTCTGTTGTCCCATCACACTATAATGGCACTTTAAACTCAGATAATGAAACTGTTCACTTATGGCTTGCCCACGGCAGGCAATCAAGTAGTCTTTTCTGAACTGAAATAAAAATCTTTTCTTTTAGTAAATTTACTATAAAGAGGTAGAGATAAATTAAAACAGGCTTATTTTTCAGAAGTTGCCTGTACCCACAGATGTTATAATGAAAATTAAATAAATGAGGACTTCTCACACCTCTTGAGTAAGGTAACTGGTTCTTGGAATCAGATAAATACAGTTCATAAAACATTTTAAAGAACCAAAACAGATGAATTTCACTTGTCAATCAGAACTTGTTTACTTACAAATCTCACCCAAAATTGTTCAGAGTAGATTATAACTTCAAGCACATGGAGCACAGGTATGCAGGCTCTGCAATCGCGATGCTTTATAAAAGCTTAAGGCTTTTGCCTCACAAAAGTTCAAATATCAAAATGACTTGAAACAAGGTCATTATTACGTATTAAAGACAACCAAGTCCTTACTTTTTCTTTAAACTCTCATAAGTGAGGAATATGGAAACAAGCATGAGTTTATACTCAGAATAGCTTTTATTTCTTTTACTGACCCTCTCAAGATTGTTAATCAAAATGAAAATGCTTAAAAGTATAAACCAATAGAATTAGTAAAATTATCTAAAACTCTACCCTTACCAACCATGTAAAGTTTATCCAAGTGTATGCAATGGTCCCATGTACTCCCTGCACTTACCTAGGGCCTCTAGAGGACCATGTATATTGATTTGCAGGTAATTTCTCTCTCAGCGAATACTCAGCAACCATCATATCAGGAGAAACATAAGCACCAACACCTGTGGGATGGAGTTTACATTAACAAAAGGAAACAAAACGTGGATTCTAATTCTAAACCGCCTGTTCACATGGGCAAATTGCTTAATCTTTCTATACCAGGCTCCCCTTATAAAATAAAAAGGCAACATTTAATAAGGAAACAACGGAAATCTATGATGTACAGAACATTATATTAAGTGCTTTGCTTTTAAATAGAAAAATAACTATCTTCCAGGATTATTTTATGAATTAAGTATAATAACGTCGCTAAAAGTATTTATCTGTACTTCTATTAAAGCACTTATTCCAGTTTACTTTAAACTGCAATAAAATTCTAGATAGGTTGGTTCCCCAACTAGACTTTAGGTTTCCTGAGAACACACTTAAGGACTACAGTATCTTACATATAGTGAGGCACAATTAATATGTGATTAACTGTTGGTTTTTGTCTGCTCGTCTTTAAACAAATCTATTTCTAAACCAGGAAACGAACCGATCACACTTGATGTAGTTCCGCCTGGACAACCAACTGTAGAAAGGCATGGACCATTATTTCCAGCACTGGAAACGTAAATTATATTGTGCTTCCATACCGCTTCATTAATTACTTCACAAATTCTCCTGCAAAAGAGAGAATTCCTTTCAGCACAGAAAGTGTCCTTTCCTTAATAAATAAAATGCAGAAAATTTTCAAATATGGTTTACCTAGAAAAACTAAAATGTGACTTTCAAACTGCAGCACACAGTAACTATAAGTAAGAGGGTATGCTTGGAATCACCCAAATGATATTCTCAAACTATAAATTCTTAGTTTCTCTTCCCAAAGTGTGTATAGTACCAAAACCTTGTTTAAATACATGGCTGTATAAACTGTGGAACATCTTCCCTTGGTGGAACATGATACAGCCCATCTAAGTGAAACACCCTTCTTGGGTTTTAGTGTAGAAAAGGAGTTATGAGACCAGATTAAATGGGGGAGGGGAAGGAGGAGAATGCTAGATGCAAAACTATTGGAAAACCACACTACAAAGTACTAAAATATTAGCAGTGACTGGCAATAAGTGGTTTCATTTCCAACTCTCATTTAATGTATTCAGAAGACACTCAGAAAATTCTCAAATATATTTATGAGTAAAAGAAACTGTCTTAGAAGAACTGATTGCTTTATTGGCAAAGGTAAATAAGGCACTAGGAAGAAGTTAGGTAAGATTTAAAAATATAAGAAAGCTGGTCAGAGCTTGGCAGCAAACAAGAAAAATGTACCGACATTGATTAAAGAAAGTGAAGCTAGACCATGAAGAAGAAAATGTAGTTAAAAAAGGTATAGGGCCACAGGGTCTTCAAAGCTGTAAGTGAATATCTGAGCAAGGAAAGAATATTGGGGAAAAAGGACTTTAAAAGGACGAATGTCAAAGAAGAGGACGAAATATTCTTAGTTAAGTAAGATAATGAAGTGAGAGAAGAGGCAAGATTTCATTAAAGAATGAGATAACTGAGGATGACAGGGTGCATGTTACAAGGGCAGTAAAGTCTCCCAAGAAACCTAGCTTTAGCTATTTAAGAAAATATTAAGTTATTTGACAAGAGCAAACTGCAGGGCCTGCCTTGGTAAAATTTTCGTTTTGACAGAACTTTAAGTAAAGAGAAGCAAAATAATAGGTATATTTGAATGGCTTGGTGGTGGGAATGGGGGAGATACAATCAATAAGTAAATATTCAAAATAAGATCATTTCAAATTGTTATTATGAAGGAAAAAAGTAAGGTAACATTAAGGCCAAGGCCATGACACTGGATCTGGCAGCAAAAGACACTGAAGACACAACAGGGGAGGACAGGAGAGAAGGTTGGAGACACACTGGAACGGATGGAAGAGACATAGAAATTGAACAAGTGGAGGCAGTGAACACACACAACTAACAGTTTGGCAGATCAGGTGCAAGGTCACTCAAGGGACCAGCAGGGTTTCATCAAGTCTAGGGGTCTGTCAGGTACATACAACCAAGGAAGGTTTCAAGGTGCTTGTGGAATGAGTAATTATAAGGATGGATAGACCGTTGGATGTAAAGTGGCTGGGAAGGGAAGTGAGGATGCAGTGGAGCTGACAGTGAAAAAGTACTAGAGGCGTCTGTGGACTGCAAGCTCAGAACAACGGTTAGGGAAGGCTAATCAAGTAAGAGCCACAGAGGGCTGCACAGGAATGCTCAAAATAGGTTTCAGACATGGTGCAATGAATGGCATTAGTAACATTATGGATAAGACCATGGGAATGGGGGCCTGAGGTCCAAGAGCCATATAGTTATCATCTAGCCACTGCAGTTGTTCTTTTTTTTCCATTGTGACATTCAATCCATTTATAAAAATATCTACTCCTCTTTACCAGCTAGGGTCCAATGGCTAACAACTGTCAAAGGACACTCACCCAGAATTTGGCCAGTGAGTTGCTTCTCCATAGCTATAGTTGACAAGATCACACTTATGATTTATCACTTCTATCATCTATTAAAAAGATTAAGAGTTTAGTTTATGTAGCAATTTACAGATTAGAGAGTAAAATAAAAATAAATATGCAATCCTATAGTTTCTTAGAAAATTATACTCTAATTTATAGGTTACTTCCAGGCATATTATCATATGCCTAAACATATAAACATAAAAACAAAACAAAAAGGGAGGAGGAGACACAATATAGTAAGTAGTCAATAACAAATAAAACTAGTGTTTCTAGAATGGAGTAGGGTAAGAGGGGAGAGGTAGAAGGAATGAAATGGTCCTTACTAGATTCTGAAAGCAATAAGGTAAACTATAATCTATATATTTAAATGAAATACAGAATATTAGTTGAGGTTTAAAATTCCTCTTAGGTTGATGGAGCAAGCTGGCTAAGAGGTCTTTTTTTTTTTTGAGTTGGAGTCTCACTCTGTCACCCAGACTGGAGTGCAGTGGCCACTCCCGGCCACCGCAGCCTCAACTTGCTGGGCTCCGGCGATCCTTCCGCCTCAGCCTTCCGAGTAGCCGGAATTGCAGGCATGCACTACCACGCCCGGCTGATTTTTTTGATTTATTGTAGAGATGAGGTCTCGCTGCCCAGGCGGGTCTCGAACCCACGGGCTCAGGCAATCCACTCATCTCAGCCTCCCAAAGGCGCGGGATTACAGGCTGAGCCACCGAGCCTGGCTTTTTTTTTTTTTTTATCTTACATTTTTTGATAGGGGACGGTCAAAAATATAAAATAGGTATTTTTTTTTCATAAAGTTTAAACAGAAAAGATCCTAACCATTTTTTAATAAACAGGGTTTTAAAATAAATTAATAAGCATTTTTGCTTTTGAAAACAAACTCCTGTAAACTGAATATAGTTTAATGTATTCTTGGAAAACCAGGAGAACTTTATAAACCTAAAAATATCCAAGATCATTAATCATTAATCTTCTAAATCAACAGCTCAAAAATACTCACAGCTCTTATGAGGCCTGTGCCCGTTTCCATTGTGCTCAGTCTGGTATCACCAATCTTGATTGAAAGAATTTGAGCACCAGGAGCTACCCCATTCCGTTCAGGCTCTTCTGGAAAGTGTCCGGCAGCTATACTAGCTACATGTGTCCCATGAGCTCCTAGAGGCAAAAAGGAGGGGAAAATAACAAAAATGTTCTCATAGAAAAGCTTAAGCATTCAGTTCAATTTGTATTATACTAATCATGAAAAAATAAGAAATACTCTCATCTACATATATAATTATATGTTATTATTTTAAGTCTTTTACCAATAATTCACAAAAAATAAAACTCCTTGAATTACACACACTATTCTGCTACCTGGATTTGACCTTGTTCATTGAGAGCAAAAATGTTAAGTCACAAAGGAGAAAGTATCTGCAACTATATAACAGTAAGAAAAAAAATCCATATTTTATATTTAGCTTGTATAAAAATTATAGAAAATGCAAAATAATCTGGAGAAACAGAAAACATTTCAGGGGCTGCCTAGGGTGTGGGTAGAAAGAGACTGAATTACAAAGGACAGCAAACTTTCAGGGGGCGATGAAGATGTTCATTATCTTGATTGTGGTAGTTTCTCAGGGGTGTTATATATGAACTTATCAAATTATACATATATATATATATATATATATATATATATATATGCAGGTGAAGTTTATTAAACTTTAGTTATACAATAGGGGTGGGGGGCACTAAGGAGGTACAGCCATCCCACTTCACTCTCCTTTCTCCCTCGTTCTTCCTCGCCCTACTGAGGGAGAACTTTCCCTGGAAGTAAACACCATTCTAGATTTGATGTGCATAATCTTTCCACCTGTTTTCATATTTTCACCATATGCATATCCATAAACACTGCATAGTGCTATTTGGCATGTTTTAGACTTTTACATGTTTTACCATTAATGTATTTTTTTCATTAAAATTTATATATTTGAGATTTATATATACAGGTATATATTTATTCATTTTAATTGCTGTATAATATAGTTGGCCCTCTGTATCCATGGGTTCCATACCTGAGGATTCAACCAAATGCAGACAGAAAATATATTTTTAAATTACCTTATAACAACCATTTACATAGCACTCACGTATTATCAGACATTATAAGTAAGTCAGAGATGATTTAAAGTATATGGAGAAACATGCGCCTAGGTTACATGCAAATACTATGCCACTTTATACCAGGGACTTGAGCATCCGAGGGTGATCTTGGAACCAACCCCCAGACACCAAGGGATGAGTGTATTTCACAGTAAGAACAACACATAATTTTTAAAAAATCTATTTCCTTGTTAATGGGCATTTAGATAGTTTCCAACTTCTTCTGAAATTATAGACTGCTGTAAGGATGCTTTTATCTGATTTTCTGCATTTATAGGCGAATTTCTCAAGAGTTAATATTTGCAAGTGAGATTACTGTTCATAAAGATGAATCACTGATGGATTTTCTGATGTTGGACCATGCTTATATTCTTAGGAATGGATCTTACATGGTTATGACTTTAAAAAACAACACCTTGCTGGTGAATCAAATCACACATATGACTCCAGATCTAATCCTCTAGTTGGGTCTCTGGATTAAACAATTCTCTCTAAGGTTGCCTGGGTTGTAGGAATTTATCATCTTACCACCTCAGAAATTAATCCTTCATTAGTTAATCAGAAACAGAATACTACCTCCACTGGTCACTATGGAGAGCAGGTTCCCATCATCATATATGTTAACGGAGTAATTCAACATCTCAGCTGTGCCAAAAGAGCCATATTCTTGGGACTCTTTGTAATTTCTCAATACAGTAGATTTACTCAAATCCCCATCTTCATTAGAATCAATGCAGGCTCTGTTAATTAAAAAAAAAAAGCTATCAAAATTTACTGATTTTCTTACCTTTCTAAAAATCATGTAACAGTTTCTCTACTATCTTACTATGTGCACTCTTAGTTTTAGCACAACAATACAATGACTGTCTGGTTTATGCTTTTTCATAGAGTTGGCAGTAAAGATTAGGTAAGACAAATTAACTGGGAGTGGTGGTTCCAGCTACTTGGGATGTGGAGGCATAAGGATTACCTCTTGAGCCCAGCAGGTAGAGGCTGCAGTGGCTGTGAGCATGCCACTGCACTCCAGCTGGGGCCACAGAATGAGACTACAACTCAAAAAACAAAAAGAAAAGAAAAGAAAAAAAGATTAAGTAAGATATCTTACAGGAACCACTCCTTAAACCCTTAAACCATGCACAAAGGGTTTTAAGAACATCATTCTTCATGGTATTCTTCAGTAATTAGAACCAAAACTTGGCCTAGAGCATTTTAGGATGGTTTAGATACATGGCCTAGACCTTACTTCCTGCAGCTTCTTTTAGTAATAGCTTCATGAATCCAACAGCTTAAACAGGTTACTTGAAACTAGATGAATTTGTAAGTCCCATAGTTATAACAGACTTAGGTAAACATTTATTTCACACAAAAAACATTTTCTACATAATTTTATGACTGTCTTTCTGTCTTTTCTTTCCTAATTTTATTAACATGTTTTGATTAAATTTCATTTCCAACAAAAAAAGTTCTAAAAAATGCTTGTCAACAAACTGCTAAAGAACACTAATGTATCAACTGTCTTAAGATCAAAGTATACACCAGCACCCTGAACAACCCTGCCTCCAAACTCCTTTACCTTAGGACAAAGGAAACTGCAGTGCTTTGGAACCTGGAGGAAATACTTTAAATGAAACTGCCCCTTGCCTCACTGCCTAATCCCTGCCGGTATTCTGGTATTGCTTTAGGTTCTTTTGTAGTATGCTCTCCCATAACTACTCAGTTTTGTATTTAGCATGCTCCGCACATTTAACCTTGCCTCCTCTTACACACTAAAACACACGTAAGGCTTATCACTCAGAATGACTGTCTTATGTTACATCACATGGTGAATACACTAAGTACTAGACTACTCTGTAAAAAGCTTTTGGAAAAAGTTCTTCAAAAAGTACCTACATACACCAAAACAACATACCTGAACATGCACAAAGGCTGCATCATATTTAATATCATCTGGACTGAAAGACTTATATGCAGATATTTTATTAACACTGTCAGTCCCAGATGGAGCAAGAATTCTTCATTCAGAACGTTTTACACACCCTTGAAGAGAGATGAGTAAGTACCTGCATATGTGGCAGGAAACCCTTCTTTTAAGAAGGGTGTATTGTAAAGGTGAATAATCTAAGAGTGATAATTAAGTGGTCACATCAAGTTCTGTGTCTGCCATATCTCGTGAAGCAATTCTTTGCATATGAGCAGGAACTTGAACTATAAAATACCTCTTAATTACAGGTTTTAAGGAATAGTTCCTAGGTTTATTGCAGGAATCCTAAAACACACATATGGCTAAATATCTAGTATTAAGAACATCTTCCTTTTTTCATGCAGATAGTAATTCAAGATGACACATTCATCAACTCCAAGAAACACAGTGTACTAGTCACTAAGAATCTGAAAAATGCACATGACAGGTAACTTTATGTAAACTGCATTACTAGTAGTTGTAGTTGTAGAAATAGCAGCAGCAGTAATAGTGTACATTTCCTGAGAACTTACTACATCTAGAAACATCAAAATTAATTTTTGAAAAGTCCTGTAAATAAGCACTATTATTATTCTAATTAACAGATGAGAAAACAGGCTTTAAGAGGTTTTAAAAGATGCGTTCAAGGTCATGCAGTTAGGACTTCAAATTATGGACTGGGCTCTTAAGCACTATGTTATACTGTGTAGCTTCAACTTAGTTACCCTGTCTCTATAAATCTTAACCCAACTTTCCTCCTTTGCCCTTATATGTTTATAGTAAATGAAACTGTCTAGATTCAATTAGAAATATTTCCAAATATCCCAATGGGTTCAACCTGCTAATATCTGGTTAACGAAATAAGCCTTTTTAAAACATATAAAGGTCAAGTTTAGTGTCAAAAATACTAACTAGAAAAAGTTCAGAAGGCTTGCTCATAACTACTCAAAAGCCAATTTGGCTCTCAAGTCATTTTGTTGAACAATACTGTCACATAAACCAAAACTCTGTGTAAGCTTAATATTATTCAGAGTAGATAAAAAACACTTATAAATGAAGAAGGAAAAAAAACATATAAAATTTACCTCCAGGCTTCACCATCATGCCATACCAAGCAGTCATATACAGGGCCAGGATCACTATATTTTTTCTCAAAAGAATTTAGCAATTCCACTTGACTTTGAAGTTCCTCCTTAATTAGCTTATTTGCCTAATCAATGAGAAAATTGATAAAAATTAGTATATTTTGTGCTTCTGAAAGGCGTATTATAACATACAACCAAAGATACAATGCTTCTGAAAAGTAAAGTCATTTTATCCTGGAAAAAAATATTAAGAAAATTTTGTTACATCTGTGTAACTTGTAGTTAATTTTTTTTTTTTTTGAGTTGGAGTCTCACTCTGTCGCCTAGACTGGAGTGCAGTGGCCGCTCCCGGCCACTGCAGCCTCGACCTGCTGGGCTTCGGCGATCCTTCCGCCTCAGCCTTCCGAGTAGCTGAAACTACAGGCGAACGCTACCACGCCCGGCTGATTTTTTGATTTATTGTAGAGATGAGGTCTTGCCAAGTTGACCAGGTGGGTCTCGAACCTGCGGGCTCAGGCAATCCACTCACCTCAGTGTCCCAAAGACGCGGGATTACAGGCTGAGCCACCGAGCCCGGCTTGTAGTTAAATTTAATGAAGGAGATATCAATTCCTTCAAACACTGAACAAGAAAGGTCTTCTACTTTATCACATTCAGTCACTCACTTGACCTATTACATTTTGGAAATGTTATTTGGTCAAGACATGTTGGCCAAAAGTAACTCTAAATTACTACAAAAATAAGTTAGCTATTGACTTTTAGATTTTTGTATCAAGGACCCCATGTTTGAAAATGAGACCCATGAGGTCTAATACTGAAAAACAAAGTATTTTGAAGATATCTTTAAAAAGTAAGTATTAATAATAATACTTACATATAATTATAGGATATTTTTAGGTCAAATCATTCAAAATTGCTGCTATTTAACCATTTTTGATCTACAAAAATGGTAATTTCATATGCTTCAACCTAAGTTTTTTGATAACTACATACTATATCGGATTGCTCTATATTCACCTATGTAGTCCTAGTGAATAGAAATGATTTTCACATGTTCCCAAAACCTTGCTTTTCTGTTTTATTTGTTCAGTATATTCAACATTTTTTCCTCCTTAAAGAAAATAGCCAATTATGCTTGACATTGTTGGTATACAAAATGTGAAAAAATGGATAACGAAATTCAGATCCCTCTTGTACAGTTAGCTGTATATACGTAGTACCTGAAATATTACATTTAACATACCTAACAGTAAGGTTGAAAATGTACAAATATTGATTTAATAGAAAGTAACAGGTGTTTAAACAGGATGCTACACATATATTAAGTAAATAAAAGTTAAATTTGTATATCAGTATATAGTATATGTTATATAGGCCAGTGGTTCAAAACCCCAGGTACATGGTAAAGCTCCTGGGAAGTTTTAAAAATACGTCTCTCTCACAAGTTTATAACTTAATTCCTCTACAGAACACAAACCCTGGCAGTTTTTAAAGCTCTTCATGTGATTCTAGTAGTAGCCAGAATTGACAACCACTAATATAACTTCATTCTGATTAAGAGGAGGTACGTGCATGCATGAAAAAGACAATTTAGAAGAATAAACACCAACTTATGGTGATCATCCTTCGGAAGGTGGCATTATGAAGGTTTTTCACCTGCAACTTTACAATCTTGTATTGTCCAAAGTTGCTGCAACTAGCATATGTTATTTTCATAATAAACCAAGATGCTATTTTCATTTATAAATTTACTCGGAAAAAATCTAATGTTAAGGATGTAGAACAATGGGAACTTTCATATACTTTTTGTCAAAATAAATTGGTACAACCACTTTTTTTAAAAATAGCATTTTAAACACAAAATAATGTTTAAAATAGCATTATGCGAAAGTAAAAAATTGAAAAAAAATCAAATAATCTGCAGAATGGATACATATGGTACATTCACACAACAGAATATCAGAGTAATGAAAATAAACTTCGACACCCCACAACATGGATGGATATTACGCACATTCAAATGAAAGAATATATGTTTGCATTTTCACAAAATTGAAAACAAGCAAAAGGATCTATAGTGTTAAAAGTCAAGATGATGGTTGTCTTTGGGGAGCAGAAAGGAAACAGTGAGTAGGAAGGTATGAGAGGGATTTCCGGGTGCAGTTTACATGGCAGAATTCATAACTTCATGCTTGTGATTTATGTATTTTTACCTTATATGTGTGATATGCTAATTAAGTTTTTAAAAATGAATAAGTATGTACATTGACTTCAGGACAAAAAATAAAAGAAAAATTAGTAAAATTAATCAACTTTTAAAAATTTGTGAAAAAAGAAAACTCTATTATTAAGAACTCTACAGTAATATAGTTCTACAGTAATGTTTAAATAAAAGCGACTAGCACCAACTTGAGAAGAGCCATTGTTGGCAACATCAAATTCTTCCTGTTTTCTACAGGCTTCTGCAAGGGCCACTCTGTGAACAGGGTCCCAGATTTTTTCCTTCCGTTCTTTCTGCAAAAACAGAAAAATTGCCTTACAGTGAGGCTGACAAATATTTAGGTAGACCTAAATGAACATTTATATGTGACTCTTGTTGTTACCAGTTGTGATGCTATACAATTCTTGTACAGAGGTTTAGAAAAATTGTTTTTAATAAAGTAGCTAAAGCAATGGATCAATTATTAAAAACTGGTTAGTCAATTCATTGCACTCAGATCGTAAGAGAAGTTTACCAACACATCTAAACCTATTCTTATGTATCACATCCCAAAATTTAAAACCTTCCCTTCTCCAAGAATATCTATTACTACCATGTCAGAAAACTAACTGAATTCCCAGTAACCTGAAGTAAGAAATTATGTGCTCAGGCCCATACAAAACTAAGAAATGCTGTAAGTCAAATATAAGCAGAGAAATACAGTTAACACTGCAGCGGCATTTTGATAGACATGCAGGCTTCCTCAGTTTCTTCTCTCTTAGGTTACTTATTTATTTTTTCCATTCTCTTTGACTTGATAAGGTTCTAAGTAACTGAAATTGGTTTTAACCTTTATCTCCAGTGTCTTTCACCCATGGTGTCTCCCAAAAGAAGTTTGTTAGTTAAAGGAATCCTTTCCAGTAAAATAGTCAACTCAAGTAAGCTAAAGGAAGAGTCTACTTTAACTAACAACTTGGTATTTGCATTAAATTATACCCTTTCAACACAGATGATTAAGTTTACTACTCCACGTAAAAATGCTGTGATATCTGTGTACTTCAGCCTGAAATTTAAAAAAATATCCAATAAGAGTAAAGTTATATGCATTATTCTTTTGTATTATTTTTGGAAGAATGATTAGAAACTGATAAATAAGTAAATGTTATATATGTAATTTCATCTCCCAGAAAAACACAAATATACAAAAATTTGAATATAATTTCAAGTATTCACAGATTCCCTAAGCTTAACCATGTATCCAATATTAAGAACCACTACTTTAAATGGATGAAATTCCACTGAACAGAATCACTCTTTGAGCAGTCACTGTTTGTTTAAAATCATTCAGCCCCCAAAACAATGAAAATTAATGAGCTTTTATGAAATTTTTTTTCTTCAGTAGGAATAAAATCTGAGGAAGAAGGTATACAAATTCCTGACACCAGATTGCACATTACCTGTATCCTTTCCTTAAGAGCCTTAGGATAGAAGTCATAGCCATTTTTTATGCCAATATGATATTTGCCTGAGGGATTTGTCCAGCTTGCAGGAATCTATAGAAAACAAAAGCAAATGTTCACTCACGAGATCCTTCCCAGCTCCGATGATTCACTACTGAGAAAGAAAGTATTTTACTTTCATTCTAATAGCTCAACTTGAATAAAGATGCTCAAGTAGTAGAGTAACATTTTTAATTCTCTCAGTAGTTGATATTTTTATGGCTTCTTTTTTCTCATTCATAGATAAGAAGGTACAACTAAAATAACACCTTTCATTTACACAACGCTTCATGGCTTATAAAATATTTTTTACATCATACCTGTTCTTAAACATCAAAGACACCTCATGTTCCCACCCCCACCACCACTCCATCACCCATCAAATCACTGGGAGAAAAGCAATTTACAGAACCCTCTCTACACTTAAAACAGAACTTTGCTCTCCTCTACAATACCATAGGGAAAATGCAGATACTAAACAAAAGCTCTTCGAATTCTTAAGAAAAAAGCTCTATAAAATCATGTTAATTATAAATAAGATCTTATACTACTCTTTTTAAGTATCTCAAAGTATTTAAATACAATACTTAGCTAATGACTTATGTAAAGAGTATATGTCTAGTTTACAAATGAAGAAAGCAAAACTGTAGAGATATTAAAGTACCTGCTCAAACAACAGGAAAGTTGAAAATTGGAATGCAGTTCTATTATGGAAACCAAAAATGCAGTGTAAAAGATATGGGATTTAAAGTCAGATAAATCTGGTTGTGAATCCCAACTCTATCATTAACTAGGTGGGACTCACAGGCTTCTACTTCCTTATATAAAAAAGGACTATCTTACGAAACTTGTGAATAATAAAATGCACTGAGCATCAACCGACTTGAAATATCAGTCAAGGAAATGAACAGTATTCATATTCTTTGCAATCATGAGACCCTGATCATCAAAACAGTTTGTAAGTGTGTATAAATTATAAGGTTGAACCACTCACTGCTGATTGACTCATCAATCCTCACTTGTGCAATGTCTTTAAACAACTCATCCCCATGTTCTTCATCTAATTATTTTTAAGGCATAAAACTTTTGGATGAAATTTTCTCACAACTAAATAGCGAAAAGCAATCATTCATAGAACCTCAAGGATCTACTCAATAGGACTTTTTAAAGGCCTACGTGTCGCTAATCATTTCCGAACCAACTGCATGTCTAGAGAACATGAAATTTCAAATATATTGACATACAAACTAGCACTTTTCATTCAAAACTGATCAACCTTCTTTAGGGAATAGGAATTCTGAACTTTAATGTTTTTGCAACAGCCCACGAGAAAACAAAGTGTTGCAACAATAAAAAAGTAAGCAGTCACTAGCTGGCGAATCTAAAGAATATGTATTCACAGTTGTCTCATTACATAAGTGGCTTTGTAACCCTCAGCTAGTGGCAACTTCTTTGTACGAAGAGATTACAAAAAGTCATTAAGTGCCAAAAGGTTAAATGGAATAACTAATTATAAAATAACTGCAAAATAAAAAAGTATTAAGACATTCTTAATTACAATTACTCAAAATATATAGTACAATACAAATAATCCAATAGACATAATTCACACTTAATTATTGAGACCAAAATCTTCACAGATCATAGAATCAGATCACCAGATCTCAAATTACAACTAAGTATTTTCCTTCTAGTCAAGGCAGACTATAGTTATAAAAATTACTAAAAAAAAGATATGAGTTATAATATGATTATCCAATCTACCTTCAGTCAAGTTTCAATGGTAGCCAAATGCTACCTTTATGAGGTAATTATGGAATGGTATATTTGAGTATTCTATATGGAACATTCTATACTCTATATGAAGCTATATAAATGAAGTTATTTTGGTCCTCTTAAGAATCAAACCTTTACATTTGACCATTCTAAGCTGATATCTTTAAAATAGTTTTAATTACATGGTAACTACAATATATCAAGACTGATTTTCATATGACATATACCAATTACATCTCAATTCTTAGACTCTCTTAAAGAGAGCATGTTTAACAAATAAAGTATTTTTCTTAGTAAGCCATGTGTTACTTGAGTGTTACCATACCATGTAGTGAAGTCTTTTTAGAGATTTTTTTGTTGTTTTAATGATTTTAGCCTTGCCAGCCTCATGGCACAGGCCAGTAAGCATATACAGTATGTCCTCTGGCTGTCACTACATCTAAATACTGTGCTAAATCTGGCCAAGTCATTCATTATACCTTGATTTACCTTTAAAAAATTAAGACAAAATATTGATTGTAAAAATGACTTCAAGTTAAATGTGGTAAAATGAAAAAAGCACTATGTTTCCTTCAAAAATGCTACTAAAATCAGAACAAAAGAAGGGGGAAAACCACCCAAACCCCCCCCAAAAAGGAGAAGAGGAAATGAGACTTTAGAAGCTCACCACAGTTTGAAGGGTGCAAAGTGAAAAGAAGGCACTGAAAATCAGTGGGGAAACTGTGGAATATTAACAGATGGTGTTGGGAGAACTGGGTCTTCTTATGGCAAAAAGGAAACAGGGCTCAAACTAAGTATATAAAATCAACTCAAGGTGAATTTTAGAACAAATAAGAAGAGAAAAGCTGTGAAACTTTTTAGAAACATAGGAGAATATCTTCATGAGCGTGAGGTCAAAAAATGCTTTTAAGATATACAAAGCCTTAATCCAAGAGGCAAAGATTGGTAAGATAAGATACGGACAGTAAATGGGAGAAGACACATGCAACACATATAATCCGAGGACGGGTAAACAGAATCTTACACATCAGTGAGAAAACAACAATTTAGTAGCATTAAAAAAAAGGGCAAATGAACTTTAACAGGAACTTTGTAAAGAGGACATCCAAATACCTAAACATATGGAAAGGTGCTCAATCTCATTAGTAATTAGAAAAATGCAAATTAAAACTACAATGTAATATACCTACATTCCCAGCATATTTTCAAAAATTAAAAAGTTTGAAGATACCAACTGTCAAAAGGGTAGCACAATTATTAGAACTTATACATGGCTAGTGGAAACGCCTTTTAATACAAACACTTTGAAAAACTGGTATGACCTGGTAAAGTTTATCTCCATGATTCAGCAATTTCACTCCAAGGAATACATCTTGCAGGGAGCCACACACATGTGCACAGGAAACATACACATCATAGCAGAGTGGATAGAATGTGGTATGTGCAAACCATGGCATACCTCAGCAATGAAACTGAATAAATCACCGCTACACATGACAACATGAACAAATCTCACAAACAACACTGATGGAGAGAAGGCACAAAATATAATATGCGAAATGAGACTGTTCATGCAATGTTCAAAAAAAGGGCAAAATCAAACAATACATTTTATGTATCCACATAGATGTGGTAAAACTATGAAAAAAAGCAAATAATCATCATACAAGTTGAAACAGGCTGTGAATGGGAGAACGCAAGAAGTCTGCGACATGGCCATATTCTTTGTCCTGGCCTGCGTGGGTACAATGGTATTAGCTTTATATATGTGCTTTATGTATGTATATTTTATAATAAAAGGTTTTAAGTTTCTACTCACTTTTTTTACTTTACCTAGGTCATGGGATTACCACTGGCCTTAAGTAAGTTACCAACAGTCTCTCAACCTGAGAGCATCATCCAGAGAGTGACACCAAAATGTTCAAAGCACCTAACTAATAGCTGACCCTAAACTGGGACGACTAAGACTCTGTCAGTAGTTGATGGGCTATTCAGAAGACGGAGAAAAAGAATACATTTAATTATTTTTAAAGCATGACTACATCAAGGAAGCTTGAAGACTTCATTGTGTTCCTTTCTGATACTGTGTCCTAAAGTGTGGGAGAGACCCAACTATTCAGAATCCCAGTGACTAATAATTCTTTTTAGTGGCCATGGCAAAATATCCAAATGCCTGCACATCCTTGAAAGAAAGCCAAACGTGTGTGGGAACATTTTACAGATGAACGGAGTAGGGAGTTGTAACCTAGACAATGGGCTGAAGGGTTGCATAAAGTGCAATGAGACTCCCACTGCCCCATTCCACATCCTGCCGAAACCTCACCAAGCAGGCAACTCTCCTCATTTGAACCACAGAGGAGTTAGGATGTCAACCTTCTGGAGGAGTTTACACAGTAGAGAGCTGAGACACATCAAAACGGGATCCACATAAGGTCACCCCAGGCCCCTTTCGTGCTGTGACTCCCTGAACACCAACAGTCAGGCTTGCCTCTCAGTCTTCCCCTAAACCCCAGGCCAATCAGGCTAAGTCCTTGAGCATACAAATGGAAAAAAATATACTGTATACTAATATTTTGGTGTGCCCGCCCCCTACTACCCCACAGTGAAATCACCAAAGAGAGAATTTCCAGTCACCATTTCTTATTCCTTGCTAAATAACAGATATCCAGGGATGACTAGACATCTAAGGAAACATCTAAAGTCAAAGGCAGAGAATGGGGAAAAGAAAGAGGAGGTAGCACAGGAAAAAAGGGGGCAAGAGGAGGAGTAAGAGGGTGAAGAAAAAAGAGGAGGAGAAGCAGAAGAGGACACTAAAGAGACGAGCAGGAAAAGAAGGAAAGAAACATTGAAATTAAAAAAAAATAAAGACAATAATTAATATTCTCACAGACAAAATGTTACATACCTGATACAAAAATATGCTCTGAGTGATCAAGGGTTTTGCAATTAAAAATATGCAAAATTCAACAAAATTCACAAAAGGGTGAGATGAGAATATTGAAAAAATCTTGGAAATCTCTCAGTAAGAAAAAAGACAAAAGGCAGTGAAGAAAGGTGGAAAAACATTAAAAACTGGAGAATCAATTCAAGAGGTCCAATGTCCAATTAACAGCAGTCCCAGATAACAGAACAGCAAAAACAACAGGGATGCAGATATGCAAGAGACAATGCAGAAACATTTCTTGTAAATAAAGGACCTGAGAGTTAAACCCTCTTCTTCCACATATTAATTCTACAAATTAAAAACTAAAACTTAAAAAAAGAATTCAAGAGATAGAAAGTATTAGTGTGTTATTTAAAAGTCTGAAGAGAGCCGGGCTCGGTGGCTCAGCCTGTAATCCCACACTTTTGGAAGGCTGAGGTGAGTGGATTGCCTGAGCCCGTGGGTTCAAGACCCACCTGGGCAGGCGAGACCTCATCTCTACAGTAAATCAAAATATTAGCCGGGCATGGTGGTGAGCGCCTGTAATTCCAGCTACTCGGAAGGCTGAGGCGGAAGGATCGCCGGAGCCCAGCAGGTCGAGGCTGCGGTGGCTGGGAGTGGCCACTGCACTCCAGTCTGGGCGACAGAGCGAGACTCCAACTCAAAAAAAAAAAAAAAAAGTCTAAAGAGAATTTAACGTATTCAGACTTTAGCCTGGTACAGGAGAAATCAGTGGGGGAGAAATGGAACAGGTGACTTAATTTTTCTTGTTAGAAGCTCTATAAAAATTTTGTCTTTTTAAACTATGCAGACATATGAAACACAATTAAAATTTAAACTTAAAAACCCACAATGATGGACTGAGAATACTTAACAGTAAAGCTAAAGAAATCTATCATCTGGTTGGAAAAGACCAACCTTATCAATTTTTTATTTTGTTTAATAGCAATGTATAGGGTATATATAATTCTACCTTTGAATTCATGTGGTCTATCTAAAGCAGGGACTACTACAGCTATTTAAAAATAAATGATTGAGAATAGTATTTTATTTAAGGTTTTAAATTTGCATGACTTACTAGTTTCTCAGAGTACCGCACCTCATAGGAATCCCAAGATTACTATTATAAGAATAACATGGCTTCCACCTTGGCTCACTTACTGAGGAAAAACAGCTGCCATGCTATAAAGGAAAAGTGCAGAGAGGCCATGTGGCAAAGAAGGCAGGCCAGCAATCCTCCAGCAGCTTGGAAACAGACTCACCCTTTCCCCACCAAGCTGAGCCTTTAGTGAAGCTACAGTCATGGCTAACAGCTTGTAACCTCATGAGATATTCTGATCTAGAGGCAGCCAGCTAACTCACACTCAGATCCTGACTCACAGAAACGATGAGGTAACAAATATTCGTTGTTTTAAACCAGGAGATGTTGGTTTAAATCTGTTTAACCTGTTATGCTGCAATAGGTCATTTAATACCCTGCCACCAAATATAAGCTAAAAACTTTAGATGTTTTGAGGCAACAGTACAAAAAAACTCAAAAAGAAGATAAAAGTTCCAAACCTTAAGCACTCTTCCTGAAAGACCAATAATTTCACCATCTTTTGGCTCTACTTCTGTTGCAGTATTCACATCACCACTTCCTGTTGTATCAATGATATCAATGATTTTTGGTTTTCCATCAGTTGTAACCTGAAAATTGAGACAAAATAGGAATTACAGATTTTAGGTTTTTATCCTTAAAGAGAGCAACACGAACATGTGTGTGCATATTCATTTAAAAAACAGAACTAAATAGTTCTAAGCCAAAAATCTGACAAATACTAGTAAGAAAACTTAGTTATGGAAAACACCACAGAATCCTTCAAGTGGTTTCATACATTCACTTAATATACACTTACCAAGCACTTACTACAGTCCACATCCTATTTTGGATGTTAGGGATACAGCAGTGATCAATACACAAAAATCCCTGACCTCACAGATCTTATACTGAAGAAGCAGTTAATAAACAAAGAAATAAAATAAAGAATAATGGCGGTAATTACTATGGAGAAAAATGAGCAGGAAAGGGAGACATGTAGTGAGGGGTTTTCAATTTAAACTCAGCTGGTCAAGGAAGGCCTTGCTGAGATGGCAGCATCTGAGAAAAGATCTGAAGAAGGTGAGCTGGGGCCTGGAGAAGTATGTAACTTTAGGGGAAAAAAATTACATTTGGTGGCATCATTACTGGATGCCACACTAGCACCTCAAACTCAACAAGTCTAAAGTTCAAACTGAACATGCCCCCAAACCTCTTTTTCTCCAGACTTTTCCAATCCAGGAATCCCCACACACACAGATGCGCAAAGCAGAAACTTACCAATTCTCTGATTCTTTACTGCAATTTACTCCTCACATTAAAGATACCAGGAAGTACTGTTAATTCCTTCCCTAGAACATACTTCAAATCCATCTGATTTTCACAGCCTCTATCCTAACAGAGGATTAGGTGCTTTAGAGAAAGCACCATCAACTCTTGCCTTCATGATGGTTATCACTTCCTTAGAGGTCTCCCAGCTGCCATTGTTGGTGGTATCTCTAATCTGTTGCATAAGCCTAATCTGAACCTTGGAAATCTGAAATGCTCCAAAATCTTTCTGAAAGTCAGCAAGACACAAAGGATGTGTTCATTGGAGCGTTTCAGATTCTGGTACTCAATCTGTACTAAAACAAGTTTATTATATCAGTTCTCTCCTTTAAGCCCAGCAGTGGATTCACAGAGCACTCAGAATACTTATATAAAACGCCCCGGACCATCTGACCCTTGCCACTCTCAGTTACTCACAACGCTAAACCACACAAACTTCCTTTTAATTCCTAAAATATGCCCAAATTTTTCCAGTCCTGTTACTATTTATTTATTTATTTATTTGAGTTGGAGTCTCACTCTGTCGCCCAGACTGGAGTGCAGTGGCCGCTCCCGGCCACCGCAGCCTCGACCTGCTGGGCTCCGGCAATCCTTCCTCCTCAGCCTTCCAAGTAGCCGGAATTACACGCATGCGCTGCCACGCCCGGCTGATTTTTTGATTTATTGTAGAGATGAGGTCTCGCTGCCCAGGCGGGTCTTGAACCGGCGGGCTCAGGCAAACCACTCACCTCAGCCTCCCAAAGGCGCGGGATTACAGGCTGAGCCACCGAGCCCGGCTCTGTTGCTATTTAAACAGGTTCCTTCTGTCTGGAATTTTCTACCCCTTTAGTTGTTCCACAGGATTCCATCTTATCTTTCAGTTTTCTACTGAAGTGTCACCCCTTCAGGAAGGCCTCCTTAGTGATCTCGTAAGTGGATGTCATCCTAAACTCGATTATTCTTTCTCCCTGTATCTTGTTTCCTTCCCAGAACATAATTCAGTTTCTAATTATACAGTTAGGAGATTCTTGATCTATTTCCCCTATTAGAATATCAAGCTCCATAAGGGCAAGAACTGTGTCTATTGATTCAATATGTACCCAATACCTTAGCAGTGCTTGTTTGGCACTCAGTAAATATTTACTCATCGAATGATCTGATACTAATTATTTAGCATTAAGACTGATTTTTCTTAAGGTATGGTTCATGGCAGCCCACACATTTTCATTTGAGCTATACGCGTAACAGTGTGTATTTTCATACTGTTTTGTGGGGAAAATCATTTCTAGGCTCTTTTTAGCTAGCTTAGCAAAGGGAAATGTGGTTCAGGATATCGTGTACTGAATTACCAACAGAAATCAGACACAGAGACACAAAGACTGAAAAAAGATGACTCCTACCCTCAAGAAAGAAACAGAAATGTAAAAAGTGTCAACAATATGAAAGAGCACACAGCCTTCTGACTCCTTTTCCACCTGCAGAATTCATATCTTTAATACAAAGCTCAATGTCCATAATGTCCATTTCTTTTGAGTCTTTCTGACCAACATGCACCTTTCCCCAACATCAAGTATTTTCTCTGCAATATCCTCAAAGCTTTGAAATCGAGGTACAGCCTGAAGGAGAGGGAAATTCATTATATGGAAGAAACAAAGATACACATTTTTATTCTTTGCTAGATAAAGCAAGGGGGTGGTTGGTGGACCCCAAATCTCACTTCAGTCATGTTGCCAAGGAACAACTGAGGGTCTGATAGCTGTAAGGGGCCATAAAGGCTTCCCAGGCACAGCTGTTATTTTCATGTATGGTAATTATTAAGTTGGAAGTTTGCTTCTTGGGAACTGTCTACACTAGTAACAAATGAGAATTTTAATACTCAGAAAGCACAAAGTCATAGTTAAAAAAAAAAAGTTAATGTAGAAATCATACCAAACCCTGAGAAAATTTAAATAAGAAACTCATTTTGAAGGGACAGGCTATGTATCTCAAAGTAAAATTTTTAACAAATTAAAGAAAAACGTAAGAAAACCTACCAAAGTAAAAATGAAAACAAGAGAAAGTGACTACCCTATAAAATTAAAACTAGCTGGATCATGTACTATTAAGAAAATAACTTATTTTAAGATGTATTCCAAATAAGTACATAATTTGAAAGACATAGAATAGCACCAAGAACACAAGTCACCTATCTTCATCTTCTCATTCAATATGCAAATTTCAGTGACCTGAGATTAAGGATAATAAGAGATCACTAACAAATCAGACAGATTCCTCTCATTAGAAACTTTACTAACATTATATGAGCAAAGTAAAAAAAGTCTAATGGGATTTAGTGGCTTATATACCATCTACTTCCACAAGTTTTACACATACACACACACACGCTTTCATTAAATATTATGTAATTTTTCTACCCATGTATTTCCTTTTTTTTTTTTGAGTTGGAGTCTCACTCTGTCGCCCAGACTGGAGTGCAGTGGCCGCTCCCGGCCACCGCAGCCTTGACCTGCTAGGCTCCGGTGATCCTTCAGCCTCAGCCTTCCGAGTGGCCGGAATTACAGGTGCGCGCTACCACACCCGGCTAATTTTTTGATTTATTGTAGAGATGAGGTCTCACCTGCCCAGGCAGGTCTTGAACCCGCAGGCTCAGGCAATCCACTCACCTCAGCCTCCCAAAGGCGCAGGATTACAGGCTGAGCCACCGAGCCCGGCTCCATGTATTTCTTACTTCAATATTAGATAAAAGCAACTACTTCACTGAAGACAAAAAGGCAAAAACAGAAATTTAGTTACAGGAGGGTTTTTAAAAAACCCTCAGGCAAACCACCTGAGAATTTTGCAACAGATCTTTCGAAGAAAAAAAAGGAAGCTGAAATGCTAACACTGGATCTGTATCCCTCACCTTTGAGGAAGAGGAGGCCTCACATGGGGGAAAAAAAGAATTGCAAGCATGGACAGAGTTATTATAGGTAGAGCTATGGTGTCAACTCCTGTGCGACGGAAGGGAGACTGGGAAATGCTTACTGGGCTATGCTGGAGGGATGAAACAGTTGGAGGGATGAAACAGAAATTGCCCAGAGGTTTTCCCAAAATGTCAGGAATCTAAGTTACTGTATATCTGCACTGTAACCATTAAGGCAGAGGAGTTGTGAGGGTTGGAAGATTCACCAAACACTCCTAGAGAGAATCAGAACAAAACAGGAGGTGGGGGGAGGTAAGTCTGCAATCTATACTAAACAAAACAAAGTAAATGTGTAAGTATATACAAAATTTCATGAAAGATACTGAAAATATTATTTTAAGCAAGGAAAGATTTAACAAACAAATACTATTCAGGGCTTTATTCTGAGTATGTAATGATGAATAAATAAAACAATCTTTGCTTCCAGAAAGTTTATTATTAGAAAGACAAATGGGTTTACTATTAGAAAGAAAGTTTATTATTAGAAAGAGAGAATGACAATACAGGACAATAAATAATAGAGGTAAGGACAGTATCTATGAAAGCATATGAGAAGACAAAACCCAGCTTGGGAAAATGAGAGGGAGTCAACTGAAAAAGAGAGAACAGAAACTTAGGTGAATGTAAAAATAGATTTTTATAAAATTACTTATAACCTCCTCCTCCAAACGCTTTTTCCTCCATGAAGAAATTATATTCCTTCATTATGCAAATATATACTTTTTTTTCATTAAACAAGAACACTTAACAAGTATATTTCATACAAAATAAATTTTGATATATGCTTTCAAAGAATTTTAACTCTACCAGGAAAAAGCTATGTAAACAGAAATACCAAAATGAAATACTGTAAGTGGTATTAGAGGAATATAAACAGGTAGCTAGGAGGGCAAAGAGGAGAAAAAAGCTAAATAGCTGTCAACAGGAACTGGACATTACTCATCTCTGAAGCTTCAGACCTTAACATGAGGGCGGGCACATACTCATAAATACTGTATGTAGTGACAGGCAAAAATATATCAGTGAACTTCCTAAAAAGTAATGGAGTCAAAACCTAGCTGGGTCTTAAAGGATTAAGCAGAAGTTTATAGGTGATGGTAGAAGGCTTGCAGGCAGATTAACCACCACATGCAAAGGTCTGTGGTGAGTCGAGGAGTGAAATGTTCAAGAGGGACGCACAGGATGAAAGTGGGGGTGGCACCTATGAACAGAAGAAATGGTGAGGATGAGGCTGTGTGAGGAGGCTGCAGCTGGACAGTGATGGGCTTCATATACACACTTACATACACAGTTCCAAAAACTGAATTTCTATGCAAAAAGCAACTGGGATTCCAAAACGAGTTTGTTTTAAACAAGGATGCAATACAAGATGTGTTTTTTAAGGAATGTATCTTTGGCGATGTGAAGAACAGGTCAAAGAGAAGCAAGACTTAGTGACAGGGGGACCTACTAGCTACTGTATATGCATATTCTGTTCTAGTCCAAGTTCCATTTTCGTCTGTGACACCTGACTGTCCAGTTCTCACTGGCCAGCATGCCTTCTCCCCCACAATCCCTCAATGATCATTTTAACAGATACAGTTTGTAAGACTAACCCACTGAACACAACCTTAGGCACTTAGCAGGTGCCTGAATATTTGCTGAGGAAATGTTTAATCACTCATTTAATTATTACTCTTTCTCATACTATCCATTCTCCATTTTTAGCATTCCCAAAGAGCTGTCACAATCAAACTGGGCCCAAGAAAGTCATCAAAGAATGAGAGAACCCACTGTGTTCTTGAACATTTTTCACTTGTGCCTCTAGTCCTTTACTCAGACCCAGCTGGTTTTCAGAATGGGCAGTTCAGCCTCATCTTCCTCCCATTTCATTCTTTCCTTCCTTTTTATTTCTATGAACTTCTAATCTTAATGATGTACACATAGATCTAGAAAATTTGTTAAAGGGGAAAAAACCCTTACAAATTGACTCATGTTTGTAAGCCACCTTGCTGAATTTCTTTAACTGGCCATGAGTAGGCCAGTATCTTAAAGTTGATACAAAATAAGGAGTATGTTTTCATTTGATTTCAATATTTTATTGCGTGAATATTTATGTTATTACACGCAAATATCTAACACATATTTGCCCTTCAGATAATAAGTGATTAAAAATCCAGCATAAACTCTTTCTACTTAACATCCTTGCTTTTAAAAAAGTAGAGTTTAATATTTTTCTTGAGCACTTAAAAAAGCTGCACGTAATTAATACTCTCGTAATCAACTTTCATAGCAAAACTGTGGGGTGAAAATTGCGACTTTAGCGAGAATAACAGAATAACGAGAAACACCACTTGGAAATTCTAAGAACAAATTCTACTGAGCAGTCCTTCTCCAAACTTTTCTGACCCTCTTATTATCCTGACAAAAGAATCTCTGAGGTGAACCACTTATCCCAGCTGCTCTCCTCCCACTTGCCGCTATAAAAAGTAAATACACACCACAGCAGAATGGAAAGCACCAAGACTCTGTAATAAAGTCTCAATGAGGTGATAGCTGTCATTGTTTTCTCTTTAAATTACTAATACAACAACTATACAACTACAGCTACCAGGAGGGAAACATCACCTGCTCCTCTTCTAATTCATCAATGGTGTGTTGTACTACAAAGTGGTGCTGAAGATTAAGTGCCAGGAAGCAGGATTCCCAGAAGGTTTAGAAATAGTCAGCCCACTGATCCCCCACCCCCTATTACTTCCAGATCTCCAAAATGCTGCCTCAATTATCAGGGAGCACAATAAAGGATTCAGAGAGCTGGGGACATTGGGGGAAGGAGGAAGAGAATTATTAAACAACGTCTGGTGCAAAAAGGGGTATAAAACATACAGACGGGAGGTTGATGAACAAGAGAGATCAGCTACAGCAGAGTTAGTCAGGGAAGATGCTGGGAGATGGAGTTTGAAAAGGGGTGAAATTTCAGGAAAGGGCTAAATTGACAAAAAGTTAAACTTTCAACATTTTGAACCGAACGCTTTCAGCCGAGAGACCTCATTTAAAAAAACAAGAATAACCTCACTAAAAAAAGATGAAGGTACCCTGACTTAAGGATTTCAGAGCTGCCCGAGGCAAAATTAAATACTTTTTAAAAACCACAGCCTAAGAATGCTGTCTAACGTCTTGAGGTTTACAAAAAATACAGAAGCATCATTCCACAAGGTCTGAAGAGTTCGCCAAAAGCAAACTTAGCCGGATCCACTCTTTTGCAAACGAAGACAAGATTCAACGACCCTAAGCAAGTACAACTGCAGACGAGCGTTTAAAAATAGAACACACAAAACTACCCGAAGGAACAATTCCGGAAGTGGTCTGAGTTATCTTCTTGAAACCCGGCTTTCGTGGCTAAAGGCGAACTGTCCTTCCCCAAACCAAGTATCTCGAACCCTAAAAATTAAGCGCTCACAGGTCATTTGGCTGTTTTCTCCACCCCCCCCCACCCCGGGGACAACAACGGCCAAATTCTCGCCGGAAAAGCCCGGGCACGGACCGGTGCCCGAGGCACGAGGGACCTGCGGAGGGAGGCGGCGTGGAGGCAAGGCGCCCCGGGGTGCCCGGCCTGGCAGCGCCTCGGCCACGAGGAAGGGGTTTCCCCGGGGCCACGGGGGGA